GGAATTGCGGCATGTAACATTGGTGGCGTCACGATTCATTCATTTGCAGGCATTGGCATCGGAGAAGGCTCAGCGGAGGAGCTCGTCAACAGAGTCCGTAAGAACAAGAAAGCTGCGTCGAGGTGGTTGCGGACAAAGGTCCTCATTATCGATGAAGGTACGTTCGTTTAGCAACTGCAGACTTCTGCATTACACGTATCATATCATCAGTTTCAATGTTGGACGGAGAACTCTTTGACAAACTTGCACGAATTGGCAGTTTGATACGGAAATCTTCAGAACCATTTGGAGGAATTCAGGTTCGCCTCACAGTCCATTTCACTCAACACCACTAAAACCGATTGTAGGTCGTGGTCACTGGCGATTTCTTCCAGCTACCCCCCGTCGGAAAGGGTACTAGCCAGGTCAAATTTGCTTTTGAAGCTCAGCTCTGGAGCCAGACTATCAAACGTACATTCAATCTGAACAAAGTCTTTAGGCAAAAAGATCAGCGTAAGGAAGAAGAAATCAGTCAAATTTCTATACTAAGCGTTCTTCAGAATTTGTTGATATGCTCAACGAAATGCGTTTCGGGCGGCTTTCGCAAGAATCGATTGCCAGGTTTAAGTCTTTGTCACGGCCCATTAATGACGAAGATGGTCTGGGAGCAACCGAGCTGTCAGTCTTCTGTTTAATTTGACGGCTGCATCAATTGATTCAATGCAGCTTCCCTCGTCGAGAGGATGTGGAAAGATCCAACAATGGCCGTATGTCTCATCTTCAAACCGAGCAAAAAGAGTACCGTGCTTCGGACGGCGGGACGATCACCGATCCAATCCAGCGTGACAAAATGCTTGCAAACTTCATGGCACCGAAGAATCTTGTTCTTCGTGTCGGTGCCCAGGTCATGTTGATCAAAAACATTGATGAGACGCTCGTCAATGGCAGCATGGGCAAAATTTTACGTTTTGTTGACCCAGCGTTGTACGGGACCGAGTATGATGATGTTGATGGTAGCGGGAATACAGGAAAGCCCAAGTCGGAAAGGAAGAAAACCGCGACGACGAACATGCTCATGCCGCTCGTGGAATTTGCGGTGCCAAACAGAGGGCGCAGGGAAGCTCTAATTGTGACTGAAACCTGGAAAGTTGAGTTGCCTAGTGGAGAGGTACAAGTGTCCAGGATACAGGTGTGGCGTTTGATTGTCTGATTATACCTGCGCACCTAATCCTTGGTGGTAGCTACCCTTGATATTAGCGTGGGCAATGTCCATCCACAAATCGCAAGGGCAGACGCTCGAAAGAGTCAAGGTAGACCTTGGCAGAGTGTTCGAGAAGGGTTCGTTGTGGTAGCCAATTCGTGTCCTCACATTTGAAGTAACCTTTTCCGTTCAGGACAAGCATACGTTGCACTGTCTCGAGCAACTACATTGGAGGGTCTGCAAGTTCTGAATTTCGATCCAAAGAAGGCGAGAGGAACTCGTTCTCTCCCTGTACAGCCGTGCTCATCCCTCTTCAGGTACAAGCACATCCCAAGGTCGCTGAGTGGAGTAAAACGCTCGAGACCATCTCTGCAGACTGATCCATTAGCATGTGGAACATTGGCATTTTTTTCTCTTGTATCGTCATTGATACTTCTATTTCATTACCACGCACATAGAGATTGACCACCAGAAGCCTACCTTATGATCGTATATGTACCTATACTTAGGAGTGCACTGGAAGTGTGCTCGATAGTACTGCTGAGTTGTCAGTCTCGCCTAAACAAACCTTGTAGTCGTTCAGAATGCTCAGTTTCAGTGCAACCTGCTATCTTTGCCTTCAAGATCTCAGGAATACTTAATAAACAATCATGTACGTTAGCGTACATCGCCACCGCCGTTAGCTAATAGTAGCTACGGTAGTGGCCAATTAGTCACCACCATACCTAGTCCCTGGGATTGTCTGTAGCTAGTCGCTCTTTCCAATACCTAAGACCGATCTCTGAGTCTAGACTCTAAAACTTCAGAAATCAACTGTCCCCTGCCAACTGACCAACCACCTGGTGGTTCAGGTAGTCTTAATACTCTAGCAGTACGTGCCCGATTAAGATTTCAACTTCTCGTTTCAAAACTGATGTCCACTTCAGAACCATCCACCTACGATATGAGTTTTTCTTGTCCAGAAGTAACCGAATGGGAGTCCAGTACGTGCCTGGCAGTTGCAAGCTTTGAAGACTTTAAACGTTTCAAAACTAATGTTCACTTCAGAACCACTCACCCGCGATGTAACACTTTCCTGTCCAAAAATAATCACAAACAGTCTTACCCTACCATCGAAAGCACAAATAGAGATTGACGATGAACTCGCGACACTTAAAGAGATGATGCGATCTCTTCGAACCCGCCGAAACAGTCTCTCCCCAATATCCTCCATACCTCCAGAGATCCTTGGCGTCATCTTCGTCCATCATGTTCAGCAGACCCAGTTAGTTTATGCTCCTGATGCCCCTGCTGTTCTTTCATGGCTCAAAATCGGACATGTTTGTCGCCATTGGCGTGAAGTTGCTCTTGGGACACCGGAATTATGGGCTACTCCGTTCCTTATTTCCTTACAAGCCACGGAAGAAATGCTCTCGAGGTCCAAAATGGCTTCCTTGAAACTGAAAACCGGTCGGCGATTTTATATGGACTGCGTCCAAAAGACATTGATGCATATAGAGCGATTGCAAGAGGTCTCTCTCCCATTTTTCAGTAACATCTTCGGTAGTAGCACGACGCATTGCTGTATACAGAAATTCCTCGACAGATTATCATCTTGTTCCGCTCCCAAACTACAATCTCTTTGTTTGGAAGCAGGGATTAAACAAACACCACGGATAGCAATCCCGATTTCTTTCCCCGCACCCAACCTTCGCAGCCTTCAAATCAAGAACTGTGATATATCATGGACATCTTCCGTCCTTACAGGACTCACTGTCCTTGGTATCAAAAAATTATCACCGGAATGTCTTCCGACTCTGGACGAGTTGATCTCTGTGCTCCGTCGTATGCCTGCTCTGCACACTCTCGAGTTAGAAGATGCTCTCCCGACTCTTCCTCCTCAAACGATATCGCTCCCTCGCGCACCTCGCTTCATGAATATTCGACTTTCTCACTTAAGACAGTTACATTTGGCGGCGAAGATGTTGGAGGTGGCCAACGTGCTAGCTCGGATTGAATTACAGGAATCGACAACAGAAATTCGACTTGTATGCGAGGGCTTTTCAGGAAATCCAAATCGTCAATGGAATTTGAGCCGTCCCATCATATCTCGCGCCTTGAAAAGTTGCTTCAAAGCCAGTCCAGATAAGTCTCGACAAGTCCCGCGTTCCATCCAACTACATAGCACTACTACCAGTTGCATTCGTTTGCACTCTAGTACGGCCCGGAACCCTTCGTCGTGGGCGGGGCCAAAGTTTGGGATAGATCCGGATTCGCTGGCGGAGCACTCTGTTACTCTCGAATTTGACTTCCCGGATGAAATGAGGAGAACAATCCTTTGTGACTTACAAAGGATTGTTCCTCTTGGGAATATCGAGGCTATGTACTTCCACTTTTTCTTCCCTTGTTGGGATGGTTTCTGGACTGATGTTCTTGGCCACGGCGCTACTCGTAATCTTGCATACATGCACATGCACGGACCACGCCAAGCTCTTGAACAACTCCTTAAATCCCTACGTTCACGGAAGCACAGTGTATCGCGGCACGTAAACAGGCGTTCACAACAAAGACCCATTTTTGCCCCAGCACTCTCCCATCTCGTCCTTTACGGCCTAGAGTTTAGCTCTTCCGTCTGGAACGGGATTCGGCCCTCTGATCTCCTTGACGTGCTCATTGATCGCGTCAACGAAGGTCAGGGATTGGACCACCTTGAGTTTATTTCAACCACGGGTATACTCGCCCGCGACGTGCAGTTGTTGCGAGAGGTGGTGGCCGATGTGAGCTGGGATGAATACGAAAGTTCCATAGGAGAAGACTTCGACCTGGACGATGACTCATATGACAGTAATTATTTTGATCCCATTCATAATTACGATTTCGACAGTGACTACGGATATTCCTCCTAAAATAATTCTGTCGAGTACTAACTATGCTCAAATAAAGGCCAGAATTCCAATGATGCTGGGTTCATTGCGCGCTTGTAATAGTCAATTCTGTAGTCCGTTGTCTGTCGTGCAGTAGGGGGGCGGAGTCCTCAGTCCTTTGGGATTAAACAATTAAGCATCAAGAGACTTTTGCTAGGTTTTGGCGTTGCCGATTTTTACCTCGCTCCGTTGCACGTGGTGTTATGAATTCCTTTTTACTAATGTTTTCGATTCGGCCGATGGGCCACAGGCGGAGGTGCGTGTGCTAGTTCTCCAAGGTGTGAACGTTAAAAAGGAAAAGGGTATTTTTATTTTCGAGCCAATATCATTGTATCCCCTAATCACCAAAATGGCTGACAGTTTCAGATGATATGTATCCCGACACACAACTGTGGTTCTGGAAAACGTAGTATTTTCGCAATATGATGAAGGTGAAGAGAATAATTTGACTGAGTAACAATAATACCATGACTCTTGACCTATCGTTGTGACACAGTCTTGATAAGGGCTCTGAGTGTCCCTCCTTCCCGTAACGCTATGCGGTCTGCCTTGTCTTCACCAATTGTTGCATATACGACTAGCTGTGCAACCACTTAGCTCTGTAGTACAATGATCATATCCATCTTTCACAGATTGCAGTGCAAACGACTCACCAACTCCACTATGGACGACCACAATCAGCCTTTGAGGAAGCGATCAGATCGAATCATTTAATTTTAACACCGCAGTAGTTCTCACCGAATAACGAACCACGTTATCCGTTCCATTGCATTGCTGTTCAAATGATCATGTGTGGCATCGAGCTGAAGACAAAAACAAAAAACAATCAGCTACTTCTCAAGCCAAATGGCAACGAAACACCCACAAATTAGCTCGCCATTCCGAGTTTCTCGTTCAGTGTACGCGTTCATCAATTTCTATATATTCTCGTGCAGCCCTCCCAGACTTGCCTGCTGTGGTGTCAATACATTCCTAGGGGATGAAAGCACAAAACAGGCAACAGAGTGGTGTCGTGCGAGAAGCGTAGACTGGGCGATGCCCTGCGCAACGGACAGTTTGAGCAGATGGGAAGGCGACTTGAAAGTTACGGTGTTTTAGTAGGGCTCACAAGATACGGTTTGAAAAACTCACTGAAGAAATCATGATATACGCGAGGGTATGGAATCGTTGGGTCGTGCTAGATGAGAAGCAGTAGAGGTTATAGGATAATGTCATTACTCAATCTCCTAGTCATTTTCTTTCATTGATCGTTTCAAAATGCCTGCATTACTGATGTCTTCGACAATAGCCCGTTCTTGTCCTTCATCTACTCCCAAGAAAACAGCAATACCATAAGCAAAGAAGACCACTTCCGCGATACGCTCTTCTTCTTTCACCTTGACTTGCCCGTGACTCTGGCTCTCTGCCCTATTCCAAGTCCTGACTTCTCTCGTTTGCACCGTGCTATTCACCTTCAAACTCTATTTCCCCTTCAACCTCAGATTCCGCATGGCATCCAGATGTCATATATCGGTTCGAAGTCCCTGGTACGTGAGTCTTCCTGGGATAAAATATGAACCTGATTCACCAAGGCGTTTCTGGAGACTTGGCTTCCTTGACAGGGGTGCGGAGGAACAGATACTGGTGTTAGGCCCAGGAAGGAGCGGCAGGGATACATCAATATGAGACCAGTCAGGGCAAATTACATGATGTGTGAGGTTGATGCTGAGCGCTGAGCACTGAGGCTTCAAGCATTCGCGGTATTGCAAAACTTATCAACAACTTGAATCCCGAGATATGCCGAAATGCTTGCATTAGCAAAGATTGAAAAATGTAGCGGACAGCATAGTTGGAACTACTATGCTAAGTTACATAATTATGACAGGCTTCAAGATCCTAACAATTTAGAACTCCTACCCAATCACAATTGTGATCTTATTCTAGCAGCTGTACGTGCCAACTCGAAACTTCAAACGTTACAACTGATTCTCGTTCGTTGTTCCCTAAGCTGTAGAATCTACGCACTGCAAATTTCTTTGCTTGCAAACTAATAGTAGCCGCCACAGAGACTCCTGCCTTAAACTCGAGAGCTCAAACCGAGACTGACTTGAGGAGAGAATGCGAGCTCTTTGGACACGCCAAAATAGGTTCTCTCCTATATCCTCGATTCCCCCAGAGATCCTTGGTGCCATTTTCGTTCATCATGCTCAGCAGATGCGGTCACTTTATTCTCCTGATACCCCCGCATTTTTGTCATGGCTTATTGTCGGACACATTTGTCGCCACTGGCGCGAGGTTGCTCTCGGGACTCCGGAGTTATGGGCTACTCCGTTTTTAAATTCCTCACAGGCTACGGAGGAGATGCTCCTGAGATCCAAAATGGCTCCGTTGAACTTGAGAACCGGCCTGCGATATTGTGTGGTGTCCGTCCAAAGTGCGTTGGTGCACATAGAGCGTTTGCAAGAGGTCTCTCTCTCATTCTTTAATGGTGATATAAGGCGCTGTATCATGGAATTCCTTGACAATGTATCATCTCGTTCCGCTCCCAAACTACGATCGCTTTCTTTGAGACAAGGATATGCGCAAACACCACGGATAGCAATCCCGCCTTCTTTCCCCGCACCCAACCTCCGCAGCCTCTAAATCAGGAACTTTGATATATCATGGACATCTTCTGTCCTTACAGGACTCACTGTCCTTGGTATCAAAGAATTATCACCGGAATGCCTTCCGACTCTGGACGAGTTGATCTCTGTGCTCCGTTGTATGCCTGCTCTGCACACTCTCGAGTTAGAAGATGCTCTCCCGACTCTTCCCCCCCAAACGACGTCACTCCCTTGCACACCTCGTGCCCTGAATGTTCAACTTCCTCACTTGAAACGATTACTCTTGGCGGCGAAAATTTTGGAAGTGGCCAACGTGTTGGCTCGCGTCGAGTTACCTGATTCGACAATGTTGGAAGTTCAACTCAGATGCAGCGCATTTTCGTCTATGAATCCGAATCAAGAATGGAATTTGAGCCTCCCCATTATCTCTCGGGCCTTGGAAAGTTGCTTCAAAGCCACTCCGGCCAAGTCTCGCCGAGTTCCGCGTACCCTGCGACTACACACCTTCACTTACAACATGCTTGTGCAATATAGCACAGTCTGGAACCCCTCGTGGGTTCCTGATTATTTTCCCGATTCGCAGTGGACGGTCGTTCTTTACTTCGACTCTGAAATAAGTACGGCAATACTTAGTGACCTGTGGCGCCTCGTCCCTTTCAATAATCTCGAGGCCTTGTACATCGAAGGTTTTTTCACTTGCTGGGATGGTTTTTGGACTGATTTTCTTGGCCACGGCGCTGCTCGCAATCTTGCAAATATATACTTGCAAGGAACACGCAGGCTTTTTGAAGATCTTTTCACATCCCTGCGCTCACAGAGGCACAGTTTAGCGCGGTCTGCAGTCGGGTGTTCACAACAAGGACAAATTTTTGCTCCAGCACTCTCCCATCTCGCCCTTGACAGCGTGGAGTTCGACACCTCGTTTTGGTCTTTTAGGCGGGTCTCTGACCTCTTCGACGTGCTCGTCGATCGTGCCAACGAAGGTCGGGGACTAGACCACCTGACAATCACTAGATGTACGGGTATCACTACCCATGACGTGCGGTTGTTACGAGAAGTGGTAGCCAACCTTGACTGGGATGAAGATGATGCCACCGGTTAAGATTTCTACGATGATAGCGACCTCGTACGTAGAGTAGGTGAAACAGACGGGTACGATTGAGCCGTTCAGAAGTTATCCTTTCTTCGCTTTCGCACGACTATGATGCCTCCCACGCGAATTACGCTCGCTTTGAACACTGACAAACATGTGTTTGTACTGTATACGTTCGGTACGCAATGTTTTTAGTATAACAATGGGGTGTTTATTTCTCGTACTTGCTACGTATGACAATGTATTCTCAACTCTGCATGTACACATCTATTCATACATTGTCATATCTCATCATTAAATCATAAAACGTTTGAACATCAGCGTCCCATAAATACGACCAGCACACCCCAGGTCTACAATATATAAACCAGGTGTTACAAAATCGTGGTCAACGCGCTTCGCACATCTTTCGTGTCGCTGAGATCTGCAAGAAGGGGGCAGATGTCTATCAGTTCGGTATCGTGAGGATCGTTGAACCATGAGGATATAGGCACGGCATTGTTGGGGTGGAAGATATATGATGCCGGTGAATTGTCGATGATGATGGTATCTGCCATGGGACGTCCGAGCTGCGACAGGTCCTGAAGATAAGGATGATCAGATACGGAATCTTATCTGCAGGGAGCAAACGAACCTTTACATAGTTTCCTCTATAACGGAAACAACTTTCCCGGAAGAGCCTATGCGAAACAGCATTGTAGATATCGAGATGGTCCATCACCGGATCTGCATACTAAATGAGACGAAACAAGGAAAAGAAAGCCATCAGTTGAATTTTATGACCCGGCCACCTGTAATGAACGCACGGAACCCAGACTTGCGGTGTACACTACTACTTCATACAGCTCACCCATCTGTCGAAGAAACTCGTCTACTCCTGGTCGCTTCTGTACATACATGTTGTGCCATTGATGCTCGATTTGGACAGGAACGACAAAGTCTGGATCTGGTACGGGCTGACAGCGAGGTACGTCAAAAGCAGGTATAAAATCGGAGTGAAAGATATACCATGAAGTTACTATGGACGAGGGTCTCGTCCAGGTCAAGCACTAGACACTTCTTGCCAACATGTTTAGGCGCGATGGGTGGGAGAAGTGGCCATGGCTTTCCCGTCCTGTAAATTCCAAGTCAGAAATATATCTATTGGACTACGGATCCACTCACAGAGCCCAAGGGGATGCCTGCACCCCCATTCCTGATCAGCATTTCATCTTCCTCGCTTAACTCATCAAACGGAACATCATCCGACTCGTTACCATGTTCGGACGGGCGACTTGCAGAGGTCTTTAATACTTGACCAGGAACAGAAGAACCTGGCGGTTGTACGGCCCTACTGGTAGCGCCCGCAGTCTCTAGCAAGTCCTTAGGAGGTACAGCAGGTTGACCTGAGGATGCGACTGGAACTACCGATGCGACTGGTGCTTTTTCAGAAAATTGCTTCCCAGCATTGTCCGCGGTCTTGTGAGCCAGTAGAGTAGGACCCGACCCAGCGCTTGCCCCACCATCGACGTCGATGTCATGAGCTCGGGAATCGACTCCGACGCAGCAGAAGAGCTTGCGAAAGAACGTGGCCAAGAAGCTCTCTTTGGGTTTCTTGACACGTTTGATCTCAGAAGACTCCACAAATGAAGAGTGATCTTTAGATTGAGAGCGACACCGGAGACTGCTGCGCCTGGAATGAGTTTGCGAAAGGAGTGTGGATGTGCCTGCGGATTCTTCACGCTTTTCAAGTGCCGGAGATGCAGTAGATGATGAAGAAGTATATGCAGCACCGCCTACATTCTCTTTGGAAGAAATAGAGGGACGAACGCGTGGTGGGACCTGCCGGTCAATGGCATGTGGCGTCCTCGATAATGAATCCTTCGAAGGTGCGGACGCAGCAGCATTTTTGTAAGCTGTAGATTGAGTATCTGATGGCATGATGATTACAGTCCTGGTATCTATCAGGAGAGCGTCGTCGAACGAGAGGTCCTCAACAAATGACAAGCAGGATGAGTGAGAGCAGTAAGCTTGAAGGGAGGTATTGAAGTACTGCGATTGTGAACAGTCGATATAAAAAGGGGAGAGTTGATGCAGGGACCTACTAGTACTAAGACAACTTGAAGGCCGTGGTCCAACCGCAACCTGCCTACAGCGTTGCCTCCCGTTAAGCAGCACTTGCGGCCGTCAACCTAAGCGTCAATTAATTGCGGCCGCGCGGAAACAACAAGGCAGCGCCAAAAAACGTTACATATTGCGTTCTGTCAGCCGTAATGTGAATCCGAACCAGGTACGGCATCTTGGATGCAGTGACCCATCATATCTGTCGATGATCACTAGCTCGACAGATGCGACTGAGATAACAAGTACAAGTAGGATGAGAGGATTGCAGTCATTTTCAAATTGCACTACATGAATTGATAGGAGGATGATTCTACTACATAAAGTGACCAATCTTTGGTACTAACCGTCACCTACATCACAGCTTACCTGCCGAGTCCGACAACACCCATATGCATAAATCTTGAAGCAATCAAAGTAGGGGAACTGCGAACCATCAAATGTCCGAACTGCTTTGCACATGAGAAATTTTCTGATTTCACATCGAGGTAATTCCAGGAACTGGAGCAACAAGCTGGCTGAACACGAACTTGATCCGACTCATTCTTCTTTAGGGGTTAGGCGGCCTTCATAGCGGTCGAGGTCAAGGCAAGGCAGTGCGTCACCTCATCAAAACCGATCGGCCCTGGCAGGTGGATGCAGATAAGAAACTATGCGCCGTCCTTTACGATGGTCAAGGATAACCTGAAGCTGTATTCGGGTTATTGCTACGGTTGAACATCCACACTCACTACTAGCAGGTATCAATCGAACATCTAACAGCGACCTTCTGTGCATTGCGTGACGGAGAATCTGGAACTCAAGAAACAGACAGCTCCACTTCGAGCTTGCCTAGAACAAGAAAAAAACGTGTTATCTTGCTGAGATGGAGCTGGTGTTCCCTATCGCGAACATGATGCGGATGATGACATAGGGTCCCAGCCCCGACACCAGTTAAACCCGGTCGTCCGCGTTCATAACACGACACACCCTCGGTGAACGTCCGCGGTACATCTAGACCGGCGGCATAAAATTGAAATCCACCGAGTGAGACGAACAAATTGGTTGCTTTGGAAATCATTTCATTTGTGAGTAGGGGATGATTGTCGTTCGATCGTGCAATGAACATGAACGAACCTGCTAAACGTGCCTGAGCGTGGAAATAACATGCGTGGTCCCTGCTGTGAGTGAGGGGCTGTGGTGGTATTGGACAAACCAGCAAACAATGAGCTTCATCCAGAAAAGGCAACCGTTGTTGTCGGCTTTTGTTCTTGAACTTATACTTTTTGTGGTGCCAGCAGTAAGTTTGGGTGTCAGGACAATGTACATCTTTTGTCTCCGCGTAACTTTCACAACCATAACAAGCGCATTCTGTGGAAATTATCTGCGGGTGGTAGTATAAGAACCTTACCTTAACCATGAGTGCCTCGACCCTCGCTGCTTCGACACCTCCCCCCTATCTAGTGTCATCACAATCAGTGCAACAAAACTCTACATTCCGGCCCATCGTTCTGGACATCTGCCAGGGACGGCTATTCGTGATTTTCATTCCCTTTCTCATTACATTACCTCCTCCCAACATACCTGCCATTCACAATTTCACACGTCGCAGTATCCAACATGGCTAGTCTCGCCGTTCCCCAACATGCATACCTCACTTCCGAGCCCTGGATCGTTGAATCTAAACCGATGTGAGGACCGTCTACACCGCCCAAAAGTTTTTACTGATCTTTTCTTGCCTCGATCGTAATAGGAGAAAGACACGCATCTCGTGTGGTAAATATATCGAACGCCAGGTCGTTCGTGCATGGAAGCGCGTTACTGGTGTTACTCGGAAACATCAACGTGCTTCTTTCCTTCCCAAGGATTTCATCCTTGTCACTTCTCACCGCCGCAGCGTGAGGTTGACTTGAATACTAGTTCCGAGAGGAGGCAGCTGTGTTGTCACAACTATTCACAGGCGGCGCACACATGGACAGCAGAGAGATCGGGCTTCTGAATCGCACACATTCATTTTTCTATCTGGGACATTATATCATTATTTGACGTGGAAATATAGTATTCACCGGCACTCTAGGTTGTATAACAATACTTATGCTACCTTTTTCTTAATAATTAATCCAGTATATCCATTGAAATAGACAGAGAAGTTACGGTTTAGATCCCAAAGCATGAAACTAGTGTGATTTGGGTATCAACATGGTATTTGCTGTCCTAAGCTAGTAGTACATATCATGAAGTCGTTAAATTTACATGTGATTTCTCGTCAAGTCAAACCCGTGGCCTAGACCAAGCAACTGAAAATTAACTTACTACTACAGCGGCATCAACTAGAATGTGAATTGTAAGCGTGCAAGTAAATGAACATCAATCGAAAAACCTACCCCGCGTGCAAGCCGGGTTATTTGTTCCACACCACTCTGCAAACGTGACACCTCATTCTTGAGGTGACCAACTTCTTGCAGCAAGTTGGCCTTTTCAACTGCATCCGTTTCAGCGCGACCTTTGAGTTCGGTAATGGTGTTGTGGGCATTGCGGAGATCTTCGAGGATGCCTAAGCATCGCTCTTGTGATGCTTGGGTGTTCCCGTTTGCCGCATCAAGAGCATTTCCTGCGGCAGTCAGGGATCTCTGCAGATCTGTGACTTGTGTTTGTAGCGAAGATATCTGAGCATCTCATCGCTTAAACTTTACTACGGAATGGAACACCGAAACCACCTACCTCCGGGAGGAACATGCGAGATGACGATCGGAACCCGCCAATGAACCCTGAAAAATATCCAATAGCAAGAGAAATGGAGCCGAAGGGCGAGCCAGACGTTTGAAGGTTCTGCCTATCAGAATGGCTATGCGCATCATTACCAGAAGACGTGACCTCGGTAAATGATGCTGTGGATGTGAGTGTAGGTGGTGACGCAACCACTGGTCGCCGAGGCAATGACTCGGGTGTGGGGAGTCCAATATTTCTATTACTGTGGCTATAGCTCAGCGTGCGAGCACTGCAGTCAAATATCAGTACACTGGCAGTGTATGACTCGGAGCTAGCGAAGTCTTTATGAATTGTACTCACGGTGTGAAGGGAACAACCCGAGTGTCATGGAATTCTTCGGACTGCCTGTATACAATAAATACAATGCACGATAATATATAAGATGCTTACTGACATTAAGTCCATCGAATCATCATCTTCGTCAACTTTGTCGTCCGCGACAGTATTTGCCTGGCAATTAGCACCATCTCTTTCTTGACTTAAAGAGGATACCAAATCTTGATATTTTCTGGAATATTGGAAAGCACATCTAGCTGCCTCTCGTAATACGCGCGTCAGGACCAAGCACAGAGGATGTCCTGCTCGCTTACCTGGAGCAGAGTCGGAGTTCGATCCTTTCCAAACACCTTGGTTGCAAGCGACATATATGCGCGGTATTTTTCCCGAGCTGATAATGTTCCATATCCGTCCAGGACTTCTTGAAAGCCGCGATAACTGTAGCAGAGCAGAACAGGACAACATGAGTTCATATCTTCGATTAACCATATGCTAGCACTTGCATGTCGTAGAAGCTAGACTGAATTTCTATTTGTTGAACCACATTCCGCTGACGGCCATTATGGGCAAAGGTCAAGTCGATGTGCCCATGCTCCCACTGTGAAAGTATGACGTATGAATATAAGTCTCACACTACATCGTGTGATGTCTTACGAAGAATGAGAGCACCCGCCGCAAGTGGCCATGCTGGCAAGAGCCTACTTTCAAGTCAGCAGCGCTTGCACGACGTTTCACTGGATCACAGTGAGACGGGCGAAAAGGATCAGAAATCAACAGACGAACTCGTAGTCTTTAATTCCTCAAGAGATACACTCAATGTATCTGCGGGACCAAGATTACGATTTTCATCGCAAATGAATAACAAAGCGGTGCAGACAGCTAGTATATCGCAGACGTTCACAGCATATCAGAGTCGAAGTAAAAATGCCACTTGCCGTGATATTGCGCAAGTTTGCGACTAGCGCTGATTTTATCAAGCTTTAGACGGCCTTCGGGCGTGTGCGCTGTCGTGGAGACGTCGAGGTATGTGCTCCCGCGTCGAATGGCGGGCATATTGGGCAAACGAGATTCCAGGATAATAGTCGACTGAAGGACATTGGGTAGTCGCGTAGATTATAAGCCTTTGTAAAACAAAGACTGAAGAAATCGCACGCAACCGATCTGAAAGCCCTTTCATGATCGATGATCGCTATGCGACGACTCGCTTAAGCTTTATTGTTGGGGTTCGACAGAGAGACACGAGATCACAAAATTAAAAGCCTCCGAATGACAAACATGCTGTGCCCCCACCGATCATATGCAAAGCGTCAATCTATTAGGTCGATATGTAATACTGTCTCTGTGAATGTTCTAGTTGTAAGTAAAAAGTACAACCAAAACACAATAAAAGCTACAGCTCAAAGTGATCCGCCCAGTGTCGTAACACGCCCTCGCCCTCTAAATGGTGCTTAAACATCTTGGGATCACGACAGACTATCACTGCGTGAGAATTGCGTACACCTTCAAAGAAAGTTCGCTCTTTTTTCAACTGTGGTATATTGTTGAGATTCTCTATGCACTGAAGTTGACCAGGTGTCAACAAAGGTTGGTATGGAGGGGGCTTTGATTGTGATTTCTTTTGTTGCCCCTTCGTAGGCTTGGTGGAGCTGGCTTTATCGGCAGGGTCAGTACCAGATATCCGCGACGTAGCGATGGGAGTGCCAGCAGGGTCATCATATAAATCAACTGCGGCGCTTTCGAGCTCGCTCTCCAATTTGCCGATAATATGAACAAGTCTTTCTCTGGTTGACTGCGCTTCAAGATTCCTTAGTCGACCACGAGACTGGTGTGATTGAAATGATAGGCGGATGAGAGCAAGGCAGATGAATGTCGGGAAGAGAATTGGTAGGAGGGCATAGACGGCCTATATCGTTGCTGTGAGATGAGGCAGTGAGTTCAGAGGATATTTGCATACCAAGTTTAGAGGGAACTCGGCTTGAAATCGTGGAGGTAATGGCACGCGCATGTTACGGATACTCTCATACCAACGCTGTGGTTCTTTCGTGGTTGCAGATGATAAGGGAACCGCAGAGTAAGATTTGATGACATGCTTGTACTCCTCGTGGAAATCACTAAAATACAGTTAGAATCAACGCTTGCAACACGAACCAGGCAATTACATTTTGATACCATTCTTCTCGTAATCGCCAAAGGGGTCTTCTGCACTGATGCCAGAAGTGACGTATGGTACAGTCAAGTCATTGATGCTAGGGTCATAGTCAGGGATAGCAGACAAATGCGGCATGTTTGAACTTACGCATTGGCATAAATTCTAATATTAGGAAATAATATCAATGCTTGATAGAAAATGCGATCAGGGTCAGCAAGGACCTCTACCAGTGGCCTTCCTCGTGGTGACCATTTGTCGACACAAAAGAACTGCTCGCCTGAACGGGAAAGAAGCTTCGGTCCCAGAAATGCGGATATCGAAGAGAATGTCGAAGGAAATCTAGGTATGCCAATGTGTGGGGTAGCTAAAGTGTTGAAATTGACGGGTTGCACTGTCTCGAAAAACTTCGACTGGTGAAGGACACTAGGCTTGCTCTTTAGGTCATCCACAAGAGCAAGGACTTGTCACACGCACCCAATGACATAACGAGCAACCAGGCCGCCAAGACTGTAACCGGTGACGGAGAAGCGAGTCACCTTCCGACCTTCCTTCTCTAGGTCCGCGGTTTTCTGTCGAATCTGGGTTTATGCGCGTTGAGAATCCTCAGGTTTGTTAACGATAATGAATAGAAATACCTCTTCAGCCACTCTTTCACCTCCCCAGTCAATTCCGTCATACGTGGATTCATCCTTATTGGTTTCAGCGACAAGAACCTCAAGCTTAACGTCACCATCCTCGACTTCACCCTTCACCTCGCGGATGATTTTATTCACGTGAGCAAGATGAGAGGGATTTCCCCACATTCCGTGGATCAAGACAAGTAGATGGACGTCTGACATGGTGGAATGGTTGGTAATGATGAGACGATGCGGGTTTGGCAGATGATATACAGCAAGAGATTAATACAGTAAGACGGGAAGCACGGGAAGTTATAAATACGTGGAGTAGTGAACCTCATGCCATGCGATATGTAGCTTCCACGCCGTGGGTGTCAAGACCGCGTTACCGGCCGGCAGCTGGGTACTGCGCGTCGATGCTGACGCACACATGCCACTTGTTATGTAACACAATGGGTCGGCATCGGCAATTGAACGACACTCGAGTTGGACGAAAGCCTTGCACATTTCCAGACTCGAGAGGGTCAAGCTAAGGTTTCAACTGGTTAATCGCGGTGAATATCAAGGTTCTGACCGGTCTGGGTAGAAGTCTGGGCAAGCTTTAGGTCTACTAGACTACTCACTGGGTACACTTCGGCAGGCTCGACAAATTCAAGCGGAGTTAGCCACACGCAGCCTAAGCATTGCTGCCCGCCACGGAGAATGCTATTTAAGGTGTCGGGTGCGATGAGGACCTTGACAGAGACAGTACTATTTAACTGCCCTAAGCGGATCTATTGTCAACGCGTCGCAACAAGCAACCTGAGCTCGATTCAATCACGCTGAGGTACCAATCCACCTTGATCTCAAAAGGCTGCGGACGACCGAGGCTGGCAACTTGTGTGCACCACTCAGCACTGCAAAGCTGACATGGTTAATTAGCCATTCTGAAGTAGTAACAACAACAGCACATGTCTGGGACCCTGGGACCCTGGCAGTTCACATTGAAATCTAGTAGTAAACGGATTCTCATTCGCATCACTATACCATCACTTACGTGACTGAAATTTGGCATATGCATGAGAATTGAACAGTACAGAATAATTTGGGGTCTTGTTGCGGTCTCGGTATCTGGTTATTGAATGAAAGATTTCGCTTGAAGGTTCCAAATACGAGCATACTCTCCCCCTTTCTTCATGAGTTCATCATGCGTTCCTTTTTCCTGGACAGTTTCGTCGATGTACCTGCAGTGACCACGTCAGCAAGCATCGGTGTTCGAGCAGACGGAAACTCACAAAATGAGGTTCGCATATCGGGTGAGATTTCCAAACCGGTGAGTGGAAAATATCATGGTCTTGTTACCCCTCAACTTCCGTAGACGCTCGAAGAGACCTATTTCCATCAGTCATAACTACATCCAAATTGGCATCTCGAAGAAACAAGAGAGCTCACCATGTTCGGCCGTAGGATCCAGAGAGGCACTCGGCTCGTCGAATAACAGCATGCCAGCAGAAGACTCAGTTTCAGAGACCAACGAGCGCATGAATGTGCGGGAGCTATTTGAATAGTCCATATCGAGACTGAGAAGTCAAGGTATGGTAACACGTACATTGCAAGGCGCTGGGCCTGCCCGCGGCTGATTTGAATGCCTGGAGCTCCGGTGGTATGAACACCGCCAACGACATTCCGTGGCGAGGAGTCAACGGGATGCCCGAAAAGCGTCGTAGTACCTTCAGGAAGGTCTCCATGGTAATTATACACGAGGCAGTCGAGATAGGTATCAAATCCACGAGGGAGCTCATCGATGAAGTCTTCTGCGTCGCCGAGACGGGCGGCTTCGTGAACCTTGTCATCCTCACGTGCAAGGGCGGGGTTGCCAAGCCCAATATTCTCGCGCATCTGCGTGTGCGTTAAATATATCGCTTCCGGGATGCACCAGTATGGCTTACGGAGAGGGGGAATTGCGAATAGTCTTGGAAGAGGATGGACATAGCAGCACGGAGGTCAGCAAGTTTCAAGGTTTTGATGTCACGGTCGTCGATAAGGATGGTGCCCTCCGTTGGGTCGTAGATGCGGGAGATCAGGTTCAAGATCGTACTCTTTCCAGAGCCGTTCACGCCAACAACGACCTGTTATCGTGATTAGAGAGCACCACAGAAGTGGATGAACTTACGCATAGCTGACCAGCCTCGATCTTGAATGATACATTCCGCAGAGCACACCTGTCTCGACCAGGGTACTGGAATGAAACATTCCTGAGATACACGCATTAGAAATGATTTTATGAATTAACGAATACCAATCAACCTAAACTCAATACAAATGCCATTTGCGAGAGACTGTTGGTTCTCGGGGAACGGTTCCGTGCCATCCACAACCTTATTCCGTATGTTCTCCATATTATACACCTTGCGTGTTATGGACAATTGAGTCGCAAGACCGGCTAACATGCTAGATGTCGAGAAATCTGTGCTGCTGAATGGATCAAAGACTTGCTTGATCAATATGAGTGATGCCAAGGAGAGGGGAGTGGTCATTGGATTTTTCACTACGCGCAAGGCGAAGACAATCTAATTGATTTAATCGGCTTTGTCAACTCTGAGATTAACTTCACGTACCTGAGGTAACACATGCATTATTTCTCGGATGATGAACGTGATACTCAGACAGTCCTTGAAAGAACGAAATCGGTTCAGCTCTGGGAATTCAACCGCATCGTGACCGATGCGCTGAGATGCTTCGCGAAATCCTGGTCTCGATCAAGTCAGCATAAGATTGTCCGGTAAGGCGCGTCGACATACGTGCACTAATGTGTTCGCTGAAGTTGCCTGCGACAAACTCTCGACGGTGTGAGGGGTCAGTAATGAGTTCCTTCAGACCTTGCATGCAAATAAAATTCTCGTTGGTCGTTGTCGCGGCCCAAACTACGTATCTGGCTTAAACAAAGGCTCAGAAGCATCAGCTGTTGACATACCTAAGGATCCGACCACTGCTTTTCCCGTGCTGTCCCAGGGCAATAAGTATTGCAAAAAACTGAGAACCACGAGAAGTAGACCATCCTGTTGTTCCCACATGACTGTACTCAGAACCAAAAGGCAAGAGAGCAGACGAAGAAGTATGATTGCGACTGTCCGTCAACATCTCGATAGTGCCCCAAATTGACGAAGTATACCAATGAGCCAAGCCAACGCTGAGATCGTGCACTGCGTGCGAGGAGCTGATAAAGAGTTTGAAATGCGGGCAGGTCGAGGCGGACAGCTGAGAGAAGCATGCGTTCATTGTAGAATTGTTTGATGTACAAGCTCAGACGAGGCATCATGCAGTCTCGGGAGTATTTGAGAAAGCGCATAGCAACCGCGCATATGACATGTGCTGCCGCAAAATGCACGAGCACCGTTGTGTCCACAGTACGTGCCTCCATTACGCCCTCTACCTAGTGCGAAATAAGTTGGCAGTGGCAGATGAAAGTGAAAGGGACATTACAAGGCGGAGTAATTGTCCAGAGTACCTGCGCAACGACGTTATGGAATGTATAGGAAAATCGCATCGTTATGACGTACCACAGAGAAACAGCGGGTATGAGGGAAGCTAAAACTTCTACTACAAAGTATGCGGGGAGAAGGATGGAGCATCGTTTGATGCTGAGTACATCCTTGAGCATGCGAACTAGAAGTGGAACACTGTAGATTATCGGGGTATATGTCTGCAATATCGATGAGATTCGTTTGCATGCCAGTGTTTGGCGTTCCTCGTAGAGATCCCATATACCGATGCGGGTATGCTTGAAACGACGAGTGTCCTTGTGGTCGAATTCTCCTGCGTGTGCATTCATCTGTCTCTCTGTCCTGATGGTGAAAGAATACTAAGTGGGCTAGAGTTGGAGAAGTCATCTGTAAGCCAAGAGACCGTGGCGGCGGCTACTGGCAGGCGCCAGGTAAATCCCGAACACTGTCTCGCGAGCAAAATCCAGTTAGATCGTACGTACGTCCTCAAAGCTTGGGAAAGCCAACAATATTACTGTAATATTGTCAAAGCCGCCGAATGTTGGCTGGTCGATCATGCACGCCGCTGCTCGTATGCGTAATGAACCTCGCATAGGTTAGTAGCTTGGAATAGCCGCCCCAGAGATTGGCTAAACCATCACAATAAGAACTATATATAATAACGAACATGTGGACTTTCTGATCAAACGTTAACTTGAACATTGGAACGTATTTCAAATTACTAAGCAGTCTTGGAAGGCTGGACTCCGGACGCACCATAGCCTATTGTCCAGACGGGCTGATCACCAGTCTAGATTACGGAACCTTTGCGTGGTCACGCGCACGGGTCATATAATATTCCAGAATTTCCAATGTAACCCGTGTACATCACGATATCTTCTCATCGGTTTTCTGATCGTCCAACGTCCATCAATCACACCATAGACATAAAGCTAAAGCAATGCATGGTATTGTCTTATTACAAGAGGGTTTTTGTAGATGAAGCTAAAGATCCAGTCATGACATAATATCACCTCACTTGGCACCATCATAATTCACAATCATAGAAGTCGGCCACGGGCTCTGCAGCATCTTCTCATTCAAATACGCATAATGCAGCACCGGAATGGCCGAATCCGGGAACCGCGTAAGTTTGCCAGACTGGCCAGGCCCTCGGCGCACGTTCTCGAGCGATGCGACCGCCCGGAGGACTTCAGCCAGTATCGTGGATGCTAGTTCGTCACCTAAGACTTTGAAGCACCCGTCATTTTGGAGGTAGCGTTCACGTGGTGTGCGGGCGGCATTTAGGATGTGAGGGCTAGGGAACGCGTCTTCCTGTTGGGTTGGGTTGTATGAGAGGGGATTTGGCGGTTTTGGACGGTTCACTTACGTTCATGTTTGCACTGGCGATGTGTAGGAAGAGGCGTTCACCTTTCCTGACGTTCAGCGACTCGATAGATTCGTCTTGCTTCGCGACACGGTAGACACCAGCAAATGGTGGGTCGATTCCTAGTCCTCCGTTAGAAGATATGCCATGAGCCAGAACGAAACACATACTGAGAGCCTCGGTAATGAAGGCAGTCAAACTACCAACGTTCTTGACATCCATTTTCTTATCCGCCGCGACCGTGACTTCTGAATCATACTCCTTGTGAAGGAGCAGATTGACGACATTTGTCAACGCTACAGTCCCATTAGCCTCGTTCATGAACACACAAACAACTGAATGACATACCAAGAGACATTTCAACAGTAGCCCCGACCAAAAACGCCAGAATCGAGTTCACGACATGCTCCGTCGAGCAACCAAACTCAAACAAGCGCTTCACGATCTCACTGTGGCTCTTCTTCTTCCCAAAAAGACTAGACACTGTGCCAATCAACCCAGCAAATGGCAACTTGCTCCCAGCGCTCCCAAGAGCGGTCTTGATCAGATGCGTCAGCTCCTGCACGTGCTCCTTCACCCTCTGCCTTATCGGCATATAGTACGCTGGCTCCACTTCAAGGAAGATGAATCTTCAAAGCACAAATGATCAGTGATCACCAGGGAAATGAGAAAGGCATGCAAGACTAACTGGTAAATCTCTCCAAGCATGTCAAACAACTGAGACTCGGTGTATACACCATGAGGATGCTGTTTCGTCTTGAGCGGGATACCAGCCTGCAATACGATCGCAAATCAAAGCAGGTCAACATCCCGCATCGTCCTCTAAAGTTAATAGACGCACAATTTCCGTAGCAGCCCAATGCAACGGCACATACTTCAACACATCCCTCACGATGTTAACACCACGCGTGTTCGACCCGATCAATGTGAACGAATGCAGCTCGATGAGCTCCTTCGTCTTGTTGTTGAAGTACGTCCCGATCGCACTGATCGCTTCTGGAGAGGGAGCGAGTGCTCTAATGAACTGCTTCTGCTCTTCAACGCCGTCTGCAGATGCCGTAAAGAACCTATTTATCCTATCCTGTTAGTGCTGATCCAAACCCAAGCGGGAATGTGTACACACCCTTTGCCTTTCAGGACCTCTGCTGCGCGTTCGACATACTCGGGTACGTATTTATCAGTGCTTCGCAGTACCTGGCCAACCTCCACGTAACCATTAACAGTAGTAGCAGGCTCGCTCGGCTTCGGCCTGGCAGCATCATACCCATCAACCTTGCCAAGGTTCTTCAGATAACCCTCCATCGCATCGGGGTGAACGAGAGGGAACCAAGTGTAGACACTGTCTTTGCTGTAATGGTTGGGCAGCGTGCGCAGGAAAAGACGGCCGAGAGTGGACCCGAACCCATATGCGTCAGGGTCACGCTGGCAATCAGCGAAACCCCAGGCAGTCAAGTTGTAAGGCGTGAAGTCCTGCGTGTAGAAGCGGTCACCACGCGTTAGGGCAAATGCATCGGAGAGAATGGCACGGGAGATGGTGTACCCTGCGAGACGTAAGTATTCACGAATATAGGTTGATTGAAAGGGTCTTGCCTGGGCAGAGACCTGCACCCTCAATGAGAGGCTTGGTCTCCTCGGCTTGGAGACCAACGTACAACTCCAAGTTGTCGATGTGACCATAGAGCTTCTCAGCAGCGTCAGCAACGTCGTGGTTGGGGTTCCATTCCCGGAAACTGGTGTACGCTGCGATGCACTAAGCACCCTTAAGAGATGTCGGGACAACGCCACTCACTCTTCAAGCCAAGGAACTTCCTAAAGTCATTCAGCGAGCAAACGCCCCATGCCCGATTAGCCTCGATACCCATGATCTCGTGGAGACGCATGACTGCAGGCGTGTTACGAGCACCAAAGCTGGAAGCACGATGGGCGGTCCTGAGATAATACGTCAATACTAGTGCGAGATAAGATAAGATGGTCACTGACGCGCCCTGGAGTAAATTCGCAAGATCAGAATCTTTGAACGCTCCCTTGTTAGGACCTTCTTTCTCGCGCTGAAGACTGCATGGGGATGTGAGGAGTAGGACCAGCTGTAGGTTTCAAGATCACTCACGTATCGAATGTCCATTCCTGAAGATCTGGCTCGCTCTTAAAGAGGGTAGCTTCTTTGGTATAAAAGTCCCTCAACGTGATATCCTCAACATTCTTGCCAGGGAACAGCGCCCCCAGCTGGCCACTGATCCACTGCTCGTCCTCAACTGAGGTGGTGGCGTGCCATCTGTACAGACAGTTGAATTCGACACTGCAAGCATTACCACGGCCACGCTCGAAGACCGAGTGATCTTCATTACGAATTTCATCAAACGGTTCCAAACTCCAGCTGGATCCCTTTTCGGACAAGGCCGAGGATAGCCGAGAAGTAGTCAGAGAAGACGACGGCTGCGAACCATGCACAGTTGCATAGACGGGCGATCTGGAATATCTCTTCGTCTTGCTTGTTGAGCTGTGCATGACTGAGGTGACGATGGTGAGAAGGGTCTTTCCAGGTACCGCGTTCATTGATTTCGAGTAAACGACGTGCAATGTACTGGATCGAATAGGTTGAGTTAATGATCGTGAGAATGCGGGGAACATACGTTGTGATTTCTGCTGAACAAGACCAAGAGGACACAAACTGCAGGAGGAAGGAAAAGGAGACGATCTTCTGCGAATACATCTGGGTGAAGTAAACCGCGGCCGTCCTTGTTCCTGACCTAAATAGATGACATAAGGTTTGGATGGATGAGGTTAAAGTGAAACTAACCTTGTCCTGAGTTTCTTGGTCGTTTCCGTACAAGGGTGCAAGATCAACGTAACCCGACGTCATGTTTATGTGTTGCCTGCCTGGAGTATGGTCTGAGCGGAATACACTATGAATGACAAGTGCTGCAAAGGAGAACATGAGGGCGGATAGACCCTGGGGATGCGGGGTAAACTGGAAAAGAAGGTTTGTGAGGGATTGAGGGAGATGTAGTGGGAGATACGTACCTTTTCTCTGCGTAGGAGAGTATCAAAGACGAGACCGGCATCGGGCATTTGGTTGCGTGGTAATGGGTTTGCTCCTTGAACAGACCGTGCATAAGGAGTACCAGCTTTTCCAAGGTTTGGAGCATCAGGGTTGTTACTTGAACCATCAGCAGCTCGGAACTGATACTCGGGCCCAATATAAGTAGCAGGGGGGTGTGCGAGGTCATTGTACACTATGATAGAGTTAGGGTTTACTGGGGAACGAAGGAATGACTGGATACTCACGGGTCTTGATGGTGAAAGTGCGAGCCATACTAGAAATCTTTCCTGAAGGGTGATTCGCCATGAATGACAATAAATGTTCCAACTTGGGAGATGATGAATGAGTAGTTGTGTGCTATTGGTGAGTAGACTCACGAGCATCTTGCGGTCATCAACTGCATCTGCATGGGTGATAGCATCAAGCGCTGCCGACTATAAGGAAATGTTAGATGACATGGAGGAAGCTGAGGTAGGCGACTAACGAGGGCAGACTCGTTAATTTCTTCAAGGGGTCGTTTCATCTAAGACAAGGTGAGTTGTTGTGTGGATACCTGAAAAGGTTAACATACGAGGTCCTTGATGTGTGCCAATGCCTTGCTTGTGTTGGCGTCGCTCGACGAGGGACTGACATCAGCAAGTGTGGTCGGTAATGTTGAACCATTCTGAACAACATGTAAGTGTTACTCTAGATGACAAGGTGAGAAGCTTACTGCCTGGCTCTTGGTAGAGAAGCGGCTAGAGAGAGCTCTGTTAAGGGTCATGGTGAATGAAGGCCTGGATGTTGGGACGAGCGTCTGGCATTTTATAGTCGGAGACTGGTACCGTCCGAATGCGAGTTCGTGTTTGAGCCGAATAGCGTGTGTCCGAAATCAATCATTGAGGCCAAATTTGTATTGCTTCTTTACGGGATTTGATACAAGCGAAGCCGTACCGGCGTTTGAAAGATAACTCATTTTAGAGCAAAACGGGCTAGAATCGGTACGCGGAGTCCGTTCAACTAGCGACCGTTTCATTTACCCTGAATAGTCTGGGACCCCGAATGGACCAGGACGACGTCCATTCTGAAGCTTGATTAAGCGTCTCACATAGAACGTATTTTTATTCCATGAGAACAAATCATACGGATATACTAGCACGAGTACTCGGGCGCGATGATAATAAACACTTAAGCGCGTGCATCGACGCGAGTGCAGACGGAGGTAGTACCTTGCCGAAAAAGGTACTAGTAAGACGCGACTCGTGACCACGTGAGTTAACTTTCACCATGGACGTCGACCTCTACTTCATCAAACAGCAATTCACCCTCGGCGCATACCCCGCACTCTTATCACTCCAGCTCCCAGATCCATCATCATCAGACTACAGTCCCTATTCTCCTCTACAAGGTCCGTGCACACCTGGCTATCGGCGACAATGCATCCGCACTCGCTCTCCTCCCTACCGACACAGAAAATGTAGCACTCAAAGCAGCAGCAGCACTCGCAAAGGGCGAACAAGGCCTAGAAACACTCCGTGACTTGTGCGTAGAGATAGAAGCAGATCAAGACTCTAGCGATTGGGAGAAACAGACCGTTCAAGTACTAGCTGCAACCGCATTCGTACGTGCAGGCGAAATAGAAGAAGCACTCGAAACACTCCGTACTGAAGGCATACCTGGTGACGAAGAGTTAGCGACATCTTCCTTTTTATCAAACAATTCGACTCATGACCAATCGATAGAGCTGCGCTGTTAACTCAAGTATACCTCTCACTAGCTCGTCCAGCACTCGCCCAAAAGGTACTGGCACCAGCATTGAAAGCAAACCCAGACGCACTCGTCCTCCAACTCGCAGAAGCAGCCATCTCTCTCGTAACAGGCTCACAAGGCACAAGCGGTCCGTCATCCCTCCCATATCCTATCATACAATCACTCACATCCAACAGGCGAACCATACGCACCCGCACTCTCATTCTACAACGAACAAGTAGCAAACCCATCCATATCCTCCCCTGCTCTCCTAGTCGGAAGAGCAGTAGTCCGTATCCTCCGGGGCGAACTCTCTTCTGCCCAGAGCGATCTGGAAGAAGCAGAATCAATCCTCTCCCGCGCTAAATGCGACCAAGCTTCCAGCGATATGCTCGCTGCTATGATCGTAGCTACAGGCTTGAGCGACGCCAAAAAGGGCGAGGCTGATCAACTATGGAGGTAAGTTTTCGTACTCTCCCATTAAGAGCGGTCTTAACTGGGTCCACGTCAGCCGCTTCTTAAAGCAACACCCTTCCCATCCATTGGTCGCAGACATCGCTGCCAAAGATCTTTTATTCGATCAATGCGCTTCCAAGATTCAAGTTCCTCCTAGAGCATGTCGCTGTCGCTTAGAATCAATTGGGATTTCGCCTTCCTGTGTAGCTAGATCATTGTTACCCGTGTAATGACCATAGGATAGGTGCAACGAGACTAATCTCAGACTGATTAGGCGTGACATCGAACTAGAGCATCACGGAACTTGCTTAAAAACCTGTCTTGTCATATGTGAAAATGAATTGTAGAAATTTATGTAGTTGATCAAAAACACCATGCGCTTATCGTGAATGATTAAAGTAATGCCTTAGAAAACCGACCAGTCAAAGAACAAGTCCAAGTCCGAACTAGAGATTAGCTTTCTGAACAGGCACTATCTCCTCTTGAGCCAAAATGCCCGTAATCCGCGTAGCGAGGTCTGAATGCTCCGTCTGGAATGCATTCTTCAAAAACCACTCCTTGCTCATATAATTCCGAATGCTGCAATACGAAGTCAGCAGAGCACACCAACAGATCAAATCATAACTCACCCATCCGGAAGGAGCACAACAACATTCAATCCCTCTGTCCCAGCAACTTTCCGCCCCTGTTCCGTCTTGAACCAAGCCAGAGCACCGCTGAGGGCACTTCCACTGCTCCCACCAACAAGCAAGCCCTCTTTCCTCATAAGAGCCTGCACGGCCTTGAACGCATCCTCAGTCAGACGTCTTCACCCAATGATTCACATCTGGCACATCCCGAGAAAGAACATCAGGAATAAAATCATAGCCTATACCCTCCACAACGTATGGTTTTCCTTCCCCATCGATGTTCAGACTGTTCGGCAGCGCAAGGATGCTACCGATCTGAAAAAGGTGAGCGGCAGCTCAGAGGACAGTCATATGCTTGGCTTCACTGGGTCGATGCCGACTACGATGCAGTCTGCGTTATGCGTCTTCTTGAGTGCGCGTGAGACGCCTGTGACGGTGCCGCCTGTACCAGCACCAGCGACAAATGCGTCGACTTTCATCGAGGAGGGCCTTGTACGCGTGGACGGGGTCGAGACAACCGAGGCGATGATCTCTGGTCCGGTAGTATATTCATGAGCAAGTGGGTTGTTTATCTGCGTGCACACCAATCAGCAAGTATCCCAGCTCATTCAGAACAACCTACATTCCGATACTGGTCCAATATGATACCATGTTCGATCTCTCGCTGAAGCCTGCAAGCCACACCTACGATCGTTAAGGAATTCAGCCACGAGGGATTTAAGCACGCCAGTAGGGTGCTCTACCTATATGGCTCCTGGGTGAATCCCAAGGCTCTTCATCAGGCGTGCGGATAACCTGTGCGCCAAGCGCCCGTAGGAGCGCCTCTTTCTCCTAAAAGTCCCTTTGAATATCAACGAACACCATGCGGTCAGACGCAATTCTCACAAGCGACATTTTCTTAGGCATGGTAATCACGACCGAGTATCCCTTATCTGTAGTATTCAGCAACCATCCAGGCATCTGAGGATGACGTGTTCACCTTGATCGCGCACGCCATTGCGAGTCCAATTCCTACATACGCCGGTCCATCCGAGTTCGTGAGGACTCGGCAAGTGTGAATTATCACTTACCGGTATTCCCAGACGTAGGCTCGATGACAACGCTCTTCCCGGGAATAAGTTTACCCTCCTTTTCTGCGGCCAGCACCATCGCTTTTGCAATCCTGTCTTTGACAGAACCGCCCGCAGAGACAAATTCCAATTTGCCCACTAGTAGAAACGGGCGTCAGCTTCAACATTGATACAGGGCTCCGCACAAACCGCACGTACGGAGATTACACTTGAGGCCATGTTCTGCAGCGATCTTGTCAAGCCGAATGAGCGGCGTGTTGCCCACGGCGTCGAGAGCGTTGTCTAGTATGCGTCTTGGAGTTAATTCCATGATAAGTGGTGGGTGGTGGTGATGGTGGTGGTGAAAAATAAAGGTGGGCTCATCAGCCAGACAACGCTCATATCAAGCCCTTCCAACTGATCGGACCCGAATCGGCTCGGATCTATTACCAATTTTTGAATGTTCCAGACTCGGAGTAGTAGTACCTTGCATACCCGACTATACTATACACAGGATGATCCTAACCATTCCGCACTTTGCAATATTGTGTGAACCTAGAATCTTCGTCCTGTTCCATCAGGCGATCGTCATCCCAAGGCCATCCACCTCCCCATCCACGTTGCCAACTCCGTATATATGCTTTCCGTATCCATCCCCAATATTCGGGTCGTCGGACGAGGACGGTTTGAAAATTGAAAGATGTAAGCAACAGTGAGTCGAATAATTTGATCGAAATATATTTTATGCTATTATTATATTTGATGAATGTGACACGTATTCTTAAGGCCTCCGATGGAGGACGAGAAGAAGCCAGGAAAAGAATGCTCCGGTCTGGTGCGAGTGACTCGGATTCAGAGTGAGAGCTGAATGTGGCTATCTCAAACATAATGGTAGGGTGAGCACACGTTGGAGGAGATGAAGTACATATGCCCATCCCGTGAACGTACAGCAATCTCGACGTATCCATATCTCAGGTGGTCCCACGTAGGAATGAAAGTGTCAAAACCGAATATCGGCTCTGATCTTCATACTACGCACGTTGGATGGCAGTTGAAAGGGATGGTGCAATGGCTGAAACATCGAGGTAGTCACCAAACATACAGTGGTGAGCTCCTGAAATACTGCAGGGAAGTCTGCTAGCAAACAACCTGATTCTGGTTTGATGTCGTTATCGAACATGATATCAAGAGACGAGACAAGGGTGAAATGCGGGCATTCTCGTGATCGCTCGAGCCATGATTTATGGTAGCAAGGTGCTCGCTCCCATTCTCTGTGGTCATCATCAAGAGCCTGCACCACAATCTGGCAATGCCCACAACGACGTCCCACCACTGTCAACATACTCTGGCCAACAGCATGGGATATGGCTCTGATATGCAGCTCAGATAACCATCTAGGAGATGACAGTCAAATAGTTCGGATAAGATTTCAGCCGCCAAGCACGAGTCAGCCGGTGCGAGTCCCTTTGGCAGGTTCATCGACTTGATAATCTCGTCCTCCTGCTAGCCAAGATGTTCCATATCCATAACGGTATCCGTGAGGTCTAATTTCTCGTGGAAGACCCCGTCCAACTCCTCATCCAGTAATAACGGCAGTACTCTGGTCTTTGTGTTACATGGCGGAGTGGTCAGGATTTGGCAACCTGTAATACGGGGTGTCGAAGTCTGGAATCTGGTGCATCACTAGCACACCGTATATCTGAATCTAGTGAATAGACAAGCTGGTGTGACCACTCGTGAATGGATGAGCTAAAACAAATAACAAGCCACGGTATATAGGGGAATCTTCGTAAGACTGAGATACTCCGAGTCGGATTCGGAGGATCCGAGTATCTCTTCGAGTAGGGTTGCATCTCCAAATCACGTCACTAATTCTGCGTGAACTTTGAATGAATCGCCAGTGTTCGGGTGGATGGATCGGAGCTAACGTGTGACACTATAAATAATACGTACTCGCAAGGCCCCCGATGGAAGACAAGCTAAGAAATCAATGCTTCCGTCTAGTGGGGGATGAATGTATATGGCGGTGGGGGGAGGACCTTCGAGAACAAGAGTGATGCCACGCTGTGCTGCATCTATGGGATAAGTGGATGCGCACCGTATGCTATTGGTTACCACCACATTTCGTGCAGTCGGGGAGAGTACTTGCTAAAGGTGTTAAGCTGGGTTGACCGAACGGTTCAGTCGTTGGCTAGTGATAGGGACATTCCCTTGGCCCAGCGCATATCAATTCCGTGCGTCCTGTCACCTCATTAATGAGACCATTCTAACGACTTCGCATCTAGTGATGAACACGCGGAACCTGTTACCAAGGACTTATCTTATTCCAGACTTCGAGACTGTATACTTCTACTCATATGTACAACCAAACCAATTTACACTTCAATATTGTATTTTCCAATTTGTTGCCTCGAGTTGTAGTGAAGGAAGCCGGACTTGGTGGGCTAGATTATGGCCCCCGTGACGGCAACACGCGGGGAGAACATCGAGGCAGAGGAGATCATTTGGCAGAGTCGCTATTGGATCAGATGCAGGGAGTCTTCACGTGCGTCTTGCACGACCCGTGACATGTTCGCCACGCTAGCATGATTTGAAATTTTGAATTGAGTGAATTGCCATACCTGTTACGAATCAACCAGTAGCGCTGCCTCATGGAAGCCATGCTTGCCATGCACATAAAACCCACCCTCGTTGTTTGCTTGCTACCAGCGAGAACAGGTAAAACAAGCAGTAAGTACTGGTCAACTGTTTCCGTCCTTTTTGATCATGAACCGAGTCAGTCAGACGAAGCGCAAAGAAGCCTCACATTAACGAGCTATGTCTCCCGAATTCCTTGCGACGCCTATTATTGAGGAAGCTATGACTTCTGATTCTGAAGTCCCTGCGACGCCGGCTCCTGAAGAAGCTCAGGACCCAACTCAAATCGAAAAGTCAGCTCCGAAGCAAGAATTTGTAGGCCACGAGGATTATGTTTGGGCTTTTGTCTTCTTGCACGACAATATCCACATTGTGAGTGGCTCGTGGGACGGCACGATGCGCAAGTGGAACTGCGACACGGGACTTCTTGTCGGACAACCATGGACAGGCAAGGGAGGTTGCATACATGCATTAGCACTTTCACCGGATGGAAAGACAGTTGCGTGTGGAAGGATGGACGGAAGCGTTCAGCGGTGGAACACCGACAGTGGAAAGATGATTGAAGACGTTTGGACGGGTCATAGCCGGGAAGTAAGGTCACTGTCGTGGTCACCCAACGGAGACCATATTGCAAGTGGGTCCAGAGATGGGACAATCCTAATCCGAAAACTAGACAGCGGACAAACCGAGATGGGCCCGATCAAGACGGGGCAGCGTTGGGTGAATGTTCTTGTGTATTCACCTTCAGGCGACAAAATCGCATCAGGCGGGTTGAATGAGACGATCTGCATTTGGGATACAAAAACAGGCGAGCTCGTTATCGGCCCCATCGAAGAGCTGGGAGCCAGTGTCACGTCGTTGTTGTGGTCGTCGGAAAGCAAAAAAGTTTACGCCGCTTCAGACAAATTTGTGCGTGTTTTCAATAGTAACTCAGGTATCGAACTTCATCGCTTCGAGCACAACGATTTGGTGAATTCTATCGCGCTTTCACCCAAACACAATGTACTGGCCTGCGTGGGCCAGCCAGGCGTTGCACAACTATGGGACACAGAGTCCTATGAACCATTACTCCGTCAGCCATTCATTGACCGCCAGACTCTTCGCTGCATATCATTCTCTCGAGATGGGAGATACCTAGCAAGTAGCGGACTTGACAAGAAACTCGCCCTGTGGGTGGTAAAAGACATGGTCCCTGAGCTTACAGTACGTGTTTGCACGCCCATACTGCAAGTTGACAAGCTATACAGTAGGAAACTCGACCCCAGTCACCAACACCATCTTGCCTCGATGTCAGTACTCTCTCATCAGACCGCCGTCCTTCCATTACTCACGGACCTAACACAGGTCGATGTTACAAATCCTCAATCAAGGAGCGATGTGTTCACCGACGACGAGTCGGATACTTCATACGGTGATTGCTTTCAGGTAAACTTTGTGTTTTGTCGTGCATACTGGAACGCTAGTATTGATGATGAACAGACTGACCAGCCCTATCACCCTTCGGCACCATCTTCAGGACCCTATCGTCGTTCCCGGAATCACAACCTATCCCCCACTCAGCGCTTCTGGAATACTATCACTGTCCCTTCTCGACGCCACTTGCCAGCAAATGAGTCCACCGCGCTGCAACCACGTCCCAAGCACAGTTTCTTTGCACAATACACTGGCCCGCAGCCCGTGACAGTCGCAGCCGGAGGGAAAAAAAGCGTAAGCACTGTATCAGGTGTCCCTCGTTCTGCTACATACATTACCGAATCTCCAGAGGATCTACGTAGGGCGTCCGCCTGTGAAGACTAGGACTCAAACTGGTCAGTCGTCCTCAACGATAACTCAGCCTACAGCGCAGCCGCTTTCGATGTCACGGCCTCAGACTCAGACTCAGGTGCAGACGACAAAACAACAACCTACTCCAGAAGAAACCTACGGTTGCTGGAGCAATTTTTGCCTCGCATTCTGGTGCATCCGCCGCGCTCGTCCTGTTGTTCCCACTGCTGCTCAGCTTGCTGCCTCGTGATGTTATTTTACCAAGGATGTTTCGATGTTTCCTATATCTCATTTGTACCGCATCATTCCTGATTGCGTGTTTTATCGATCCAATTGCTTGTAAGGGTCTATATCATTCTTTCTCTGTTTACATCAGTTTTCCTGCTGTTTCTCGCATGCGTGTCTGACATCTGTTGACGTTCGTTTTATTACAAACAATCTCAAGTGGATACTCTCCGTTTCGAGGTACCTGACAGGGCGCTTGTCATTTCACTTTGACATACTCGTCTGACTTAAGATCCATGAAACGCGCACGACGAATGCGGAGTAGCGCAGAGGATTGCCTTCGGCTCCAGGCCGCCATTAATTCATTAACCATTCCTGCAAATTATTTTTTTCGATAAATAACTTGGTATCATAATTCAGTAGCACTGGGGTAACGCATTCTACGGTTTTACATCTACACACTCATCTTCATCGCTATCGTTGGGTGAGGATCGTACCCTTCAACCACAATGTCTTCCGAATCGAATCCGTCAATGTCAGTTATCTCCTTTCTGAATTTGACTTTTGGAAATGATTTTGGTTCGCGTTTGAGTTGTATTTCGAGGGCATCAACATGGTCACGGTAAACATGCGCATCTCCAAGTTGGATGATGAGCTCGTAGGGTTTGGTCCCCGTAACGTGCGCAACCATGTGCGTTAGGAGCGCGTAAGACGCGATGTTGAAAGGGATGCCGAGCCCAAGGTCGGCTGAGCGTTGGTACATGAGACATGATAGGCGTTTAGGAGCATCGGGTGTAACGGGGAGATGCACGTAGAACTGGCACATCATATGGCATGGTGGAAGCGCCATGAGCGGCATAGCTGAGGTATGAGATCAGCGCACGTAGGACAGCCAAACTAAACTAAACTCACCTGCTGGATTCCATGCACTCAGGATTATTCGTCGATCAGTCGGATCATCTCTGATCTTCTGAATGCACTCCTTCAGCTGATCGACGCCCTGATCGGTGTAGTCTGTATCACAATCGACATAGTTTGCGCCAAAATGTCTCCATTGAAACCCATACACGGGGCCAAGATCGCCCTCCCGTCTGTGTCCCAAACCGCGCTTCTCGAGAAATTCTTTGCTTCCGTTTCCGTCCCATATTTTGATGCCCTTCTGCGAGAGCACTCGGGCGTCCGTGCTGCCTCGGATAAACCAGAGAAGTTCTTCTACGATGGCGCGTAGGAATGTGCGTTTTGTTGTGAGGAGCGGGAGCGTGTCATCTGCGAGAGAGAAACGGAAAGAGGGGGGTGCAAAGATAGAGAGGGTGCCTGTGCCTGTGCGATCTGGCCGAACTTCGCCTATGTCTATGACACGGCGGACGAGGGAGAGATATTGATGCTCCTCATGTGGCGTCATGGGCTCTGTGCTGCCCATTGTCAAGTATGCCAGTGGGCGGTAGGTAACACGCGTAAACGCGTCTGATTGTGAATAGTCGATGCCGGCGGCGATTTCTAAAAAGGTACACGGGCAAACGTAGTGCAACAAAATCGATTTTTATTTCAACAACGAAGCAAGGTATCAATTGCAACTTATCAGTACTTACAGGGAATGATAGTACGTACAGTGGGCATGTAATAAACTAGTATCCATGGTGAATTCGAAGCACCAATGATACGTAATAGGCTCCACTCACTGCGGAAGTCGAAACAACTTAGACGGATCAAATTGTCGTCATGGGCAAGCGGGGACCAGGTGGGTTGTAAAGGAATTTTCCTTTAGGATTGGGGGTGGTTGGAAGAGGTTCTACACCTTCATACCTGCTAGAAAATACTCATGTTTACTGTAGTATTACGAGGAACGATGATAACGAGAGTAGATTCGACTCGAGGAGACCTTATTGGAGCAACAATTGGAGTATGTCTGTGCGATGATTATTAGTTTAGTTGAAGGCATTTAGAGAATTTATGCATTTACATCACTTGTCACCAATTGGTTTGCTGATCTCGACTCAGCTGCATCAAGAAGCACTAGGAGATTCCACCAGGGCGATTTTCAAATCATAAATATGGGGCATCTATGAGAGCGTAGACCTTCTCACATGATCATGATAAGCTTACTCGGTACTTGGTGTCTTGAACTATATGATCCGGGAAAACCAGCAGCTTATAAGAGGTCGTAATAGCTTCGAACTCAGGTATTGTTAAACGTTTATGAAAGTGGATTGAATTTGCAGGCCGCAGAACAGCGAACAACTGCAGACCCGGCCAAGAAACTGAGCCGCAGCGTTACGGATATATCACCAAACGTCGCAGTAAGCCATGATATAGTATATCTAGTGTACATAAACAAGCAGTGCCTTGCTGCTGGAAGACTGATGATACAGAGGACGGAGGATCTTCGTAGAGGATGCTCTGATTTTCTTCAACTTGGAGTAGGGCGAAGACATTCCTCATACAATGGCCATGTCTTTCCGATCCACGTCGCCAGCTCTGTGTGATCTCTGAGTGCATCGCCAGTGTTCGGGTGGACGAGAACGCTTTGAAATGCGTAGCTGGGTTAACGAGCTAACGCGAAGCGTTATGAATGTGACACGCACTCGCAAGGTCCCCGATTAACGACAAGCCACGAAAATAATGCTCCCGTCTGGTGGGGACTGAATGTATTTACCTCGAACATGGCGGTAGGGTGGGGACCTTAAAAGAACAAGGGTGAGTACCTTGCTGTGTGACATCGATGGGATAACCAGATACGCACCGACTGGTTTATCCCAGAGCCTATATATCCGCAACTACGGCATGAAGAATGAATAAACAGCTACTGGATGATGCAAGAGAAAAAACTTGTGTACCTCTGGAAACTCCCTCCTTACACGCTCGTGTAGTTCTTTCGCATATTGCGCCTGAGCAGCCACAGCGGGCATGTAATAAACTAGCATCCATAGTAAAATCGGGACACCATTAACATGTGAGGCTCGCTCACTGTGGAAGTCGAAACCATTCTTAGACGGATTAAATTGTTTCGGGAATTCGTCATAGGAGGCTGAGCGAGGACCAGGTGGGTTGTGCAGGGATTTCCCGTCAGGATTGATCGTGGTTGGAAGGGGTTCTGCACCTTCATACCCTGCTAAAAGAGATGGCCACTGACTCATGTTTACTGTAGTATAGGGGTTATCGATGTTGTTAGGAGGAACGACGATGGTAACAAGAGTAGAGTCAACGCGAGAGGCCTTATAAGATTGGAACAAGCAGGTGGAGTCCGATACAGACGGTGTGCGGATGAGTAAGCATTTGTCACCAATTGTATGATCACTCAGCAAAGAGGTCACCGGGTCCAGGCAGCTTGAGGAGCGCTGAGTTAACAGCCCGCTACTCCCTCTACCTCGAGCAGCGACTGTCAGGTATTGTTGCAATATCATGCTCCAATTGATCAAGAATGTTGATTGAAGTTCTCCATACGAGTATTGATGCATGAAGGAACTTGGTAAAAGAACATGATCATGTGGCAGAAAAATATGATGCCATTGAAAAAATTTCATTGCCGTGTGTCGGTGAAGAAGCAGTTGACAACATGAGAGAACCCGTTCATAAGACTTCAAATATGTGGCACTTGTATACATTGAAGACGTATGGGAGATAGTCGCCCTGCAGTTTGCTGTATCCCCACTCATTGCATAGTCGGACACATATGGGCTGTGCGGCAGATCTGTGGGGACGACTTTGTCGCTGAACAAGCTGCCTGCTCAGACGTCCGCAGCGCCGAAAATGAGATAAATACGAAGCAGAGATGAGCCATGCAAAAGCTTGAAGGCTGTAAGGAGGGCGGAATCAAGGTCGGTACCTGGGAAAAAGTCTGTCAACGTTACCACCCACGACCATGATATAATATTCAAGTCTAAATCTCACTATCAAATTTCAACGACAGGCTGGCACAGCAGCAGATATTTCAGATCTATGGTATACAACTAGGCATATCAATCTGTCCAGAGCAATATTTGTTCTAAAGGACGAAACCGCAATTCTATATGTTTTCCTGCTGTGGTGCTTGTTGACGATCATCCATCATCCATCATCCATATCCACGACACCCTTACTTGGCCTAGTTTTCGACCGGGAAGATATTCGACGAAGCTGCACATAGGTCGAGTTCTGTTGTAAACTTTGACTGGAATAATACTCTCGACGACAACGCTCATGTTATCACTGACTCACAAAACAGTCGCTGTTAGCATCTTCGACCAAGTATCCAGAAATTTGGCTAGCATAGGTTGCATACCCTTGTCAGAGTACCTATATGGTTCTTCATCTATCCCAGCAGCACCACTACAACAGGAAACCCTATCTACCGTTCCCAAAAATGTTCCCGTTCAACATCCACAACCCTCAACACCGGCCATAACTAAGACGTCAGTTGACACTGTCTCAGCGAACGCTATCAGCCGTTTACATCAAACATCTCAACGCACATTTGGATCCATCGAGCCACTTAAGTTCGAATTCATCGAGGAAGCCGGCCAGCGCAGTGCGTATCCACTCTTACGTCAAATTATCATCTCATAATAATTCCACAGGCAAGAAATGCATATTGACAATATCTCGTCCCAACGGAAGCACTCGCTCTTATGCAACCGATCCCGTTTATTCTCGCAAATCCGACGCAAAATCTGCTGCGGCCACTCTCGCGACCGAAATGGGTGCACTGGATTTCATCACTCACGGAGATCCTGAGGAACTCAAACTTAAACGCGGACTTGTCCTCGCCTCCATCAATAGCTCACAAAACCAGGAACGTACACAGGCAGAGTTCGGATCTACTGCCGATAATGTAGACGGCAATAATGCGATTGAGCAAATCGAAACCTGTTGCGTAGAATGGCGGGGTGGTTCCATTGCACCACATTGGGTAGCATTACTAGAGCCCAAAATCGGTCATAGTAAGTATCTATCAAAATGTCGGATGTCCGGGCCCTGTTGAACTAAGGTCACCGCAGCTCAAGGATGTGCCCTCAGAATCGAACTTTCACCACACGTAATCAAGGTCTACGCTTCCGATACCATCTACAACACGTACAACGAAGCAAAGGGCGCGTGTGCTGAAGCCGCACTTCGCGAAGGCGTTCTCGACTTTATCAAACACGGAAACGGCCAACTACGCCCTGCATCCCCCCAACTATACTCAGCCCCCAGTTCCTCCGACATAAATGGTGTCTCAGCCAACAAACAACCTCCATCGACTCTCCAGGCATTCTACGAATCCCTCCCCCGTCCATTTCCTGAATCGTTCGAAAGCAAAGACGTCAACGAGTTCGGTGCGCCTGGATATATGAACACCCTCGTACAAAATGCAAGAGGCGGAAAGTTGACCACCACATTCATTTTTACATCAGACGGAACTCCAGGACGTACGTATTCTCTATCATAAAACACTCGCGCTCACGGCACTGATTTACTCTATCTAGTGCACGGTTGTTTCCTCCGCTTAGACAGACCCACAGAATATAGAGCATACCTTGTCGATCCCAGGTTCCCAAAACGCGCAGATGCAAAAGCAGCCGTATGCCTCCAGGCGCTGTCTCAGGGCGCTGGAGATTACATGCGCGCGATAGGAAAGGCTGTCGAGGAGAGAGTCACGCCTTTGATGAAAACATGGGTGAACGATCAAGTATACCCTGTCCTCTTATCCGAGTATAATAAACTCAGGGGTCGGCATCCTAATTTTACTTATGAGAAGGAGAAAGATGGTCCGTTCTTGTTTTCTCATCATGTCACCTCGCATGCTCATTGCGTATTAGCCTTTGGATGCACGATGACGCTCCAGCTCTCTGCCGATCCCACGCCTGACCAAACACGAATCTGGACAGTATCGAATGACTACCGCAACAAGGCAGATGCCAAGGTAGCTGTCGTTTGCATCGCAATCGAACAACGTGCGATGGAGTTCATCCGGTTTCGAGGCGAACCTCCTCCTCCTGGCTATACCACCCCATATTCTCTGCAGACCTTCGACCCTGGATCGTCTCAGAAATCTAACGGGAAACGAAAGATGGTCGAGGATGCGCACTCGCAGGGTGAACATGAAAAGCCTACAAAACGACAAAAGAAAGCAAAGCTTGAGAGCACTGCAACCAAACACGGTAATAAGAAAGCGAAAGGCAGCACCCTCATCCATAGCATTCCCGAGTCTGGCACCATCCGTGCAGGACAACCTTCTCGAAAGGGGTATGCTTCAGCACCATATCGGCCAGGACTTGAGGATGAGAGTGGTTTTGGGACTGCGTACCGTCTACCGCAGGTGTCCTTGAATCCCATTCCACCTAATAGTGATCAGCGGTTCATGCCTCTTCGCCCGCATTCTTCTGTGCAAGGTGATTATGGGTATCCGCTTTCGGCACAGTCTTTCGCTGGAGCTTCGGGCACTAGTTCTGGAGGTGGTGCGGGTGCGGAGCGGTTAGGTGATTTATCTGAGCCAGAACCTGGGGAGGTTGTATGACTTTGTTGAATCGAGTACTGTTTGACTGTTTGAGATGGTTCATAGTGCTACATCGCGAGGGTTATAATTACATGGATCCCACGTCACCTAGGTATTCTCCTTGTTCTCGAGGGAAACCTCTGTCCTTCCGGAGTTATCCTTGCTCAACGTTGCAACATCAATAGGAGGTGATCCGAGACTGTTGAAAGGGAATTTGGCAGCTGCGCTAGAACAACCTGCTAGTGTATTCACTGGTCGTAGCATCGCACTGTGTAAGAAGGATATTAAGATTTGGCTGCCACTACTGGAGGTCTTCCAGGCGAGACTACTAGTGTCGATGTGTTGATACTCTATTACGTAGCGAGGAAATAGAGCTATGCAAGTCTTTGTGCGAACAGCAAGCGTTGACGAAGTTCACACCTAAGACCTGCTCGACTCGTCGACACAGCTTTTCTTTTTCCCCATCTTCCTCTCCCTCTTCCATTGCGCCAGTGCTAACAAGGAAGCAATACCGCGCACTGGTTCAGGCCAGCCCATATTAGTATCTGAGGAATATTATTAGTATCCGCCGCGCCTGTCTGTTTCTTTAGTATCATGGAGACATGTTGTCCAGAACACTCATAACAGCTGCAGCACATGCTTCAACCCTCCACATCCAACTTTCCACGTCCATCATATCCCTAACCTCCCCCTTCACCCGCGGCTCTTTACGCACACTCCAAGACGCTATTATTGCACATGCAGCAACGTCCAAGACTCCAGTGACCCCAGGAGAAGTCAACGCAGCGGTCCTTGTTCCGTTGTGTAATGTCGATGGTGTACCCGGCGTGCTACTCGAACTGCGAGGCGGTAAACTGAGGTCCCATGCTGGCGAAGTCAGGTATATTCAACCCCCAAAATGTCAAGTATCTCGGCGCTCATGATCACTAGTTTTCCTGGTGGAAGGGTCGACCCAGTGAGTCTATTCAGAACCTCTGTGTACTTCCTCATCATACCTGTAGGCAGATGCATCATTTCTCGCTGCTGCACTCAGAGAAACACAAGAAGAAGTAGGTCTAGATCATCGGCAGATCGACATTCTCGGCCAATTTGGCCCGCCTGAGCAAAGTCTCATGGGTCTCAGAGTATGGCCCTACGTCGTACGTTTATTCTACTCACCAGTTTTGTTTTGACTTGAATGCGGTGCGCAGGGCTTCGTATACCCACGTGGCAGTCACCACACAGATACCGGAGCACTAGATGATCCCTTACCCTCCATCTCGCTTTCCTCACTCAGGATATCTCAGGCCGAGGTGGCGACCGTCTTCCATCTTCCCCTTTCCGCATTTACATCCCCTGTGCGTATCAGGCCTGACATGTTCCGCGCTGCCAGCCCATATTGGGCCATTGATGTCTCTGACCTTGTGGAGGGGTCTGAGGGGGTAAACGATCCATCGGGACACTCAGAAGTGAGTGGTGGGAAGGAAGGACGTTTAGAAGTTTGGGGTTTGACAGGTTGGTACATGTCATTGCTCATGCGAATCTTAAAGGTATACACCTAAATAAAAGATTATCATGTGGTGACATACTGAGGTCCTTGAGATCATCCTTGGGAAACTGAGCACACAACATTGTCTTGCGTTCATTCAGAAGCACCATTCGATGACCAGCCGCAAGCTGAAACACAGGCACTTTCGTTTCACCTACGGTAAACAGCAATCGCCTTACTTACATGTGAGCAAAGATATACCTGTGCCGTCCTGTACATGAAGCTTTGAAGCACCACCACTACCTTATGTACCTCCCCACGCCTTGAAATCTTTCATGTAGTGCATTGGCACGACAGGACATGCAGTGATGTCATATCAGCGCTGGTAGAACTCCTGATTTTGAGGGACGGGCCAAGAGGTGAATGCGCTCACATGGCTTGGAGCTCCATGGTTGAGAGGGGTCACAGTGGTTGAGTTGAGGATAGTTGCCACGCATAAAGGCGTTGACCATTGACAGGAGATCTTGAGTACGTGAGCCTGCTCCTTGTTGGGTCCCCAGGAGGTGCCAAGGTGCCAGATGTGTGTATTATATGTGGACCAGGTCATCATGAATAGTGTCGATACAACAAGATAAAACAAGATATGTATGATATCGGGATGCATGACGGATTGAGATAACAAGGATCATCTTCGTGCCCTTAATAGTCAACATCCTGTTGAATGAGCGCAATAGCTTTTGCAGAGCGAGGCTTAATAGAGCACTTGAATGGTTTCGGATGACTGGGAGTACGTCTATTCAAGCTGGTACCGCGAATATGATAGGATACACGACATACCTGATCGCGCCTGATGAGGAGTCAACCTCAGGGGTGTGCTCAACACCGTTCTCGACGATCTTGGAAATATCAAAAACGGCGAGCGACATCACGGTAGATAGCCAGATGGAAGCATCAACGAGGTGCAGGCCTATCCATCAAAAGCAACCAAATATCACAATACTGTTATATTGAGGGAACTTCTGCATACCGGGACAGATCCTGAGGAGCAGAAAATTAGCATTCCACTCCAAATTAACTCTATGCGTACCGTCTACCAAAGCCGAAGCAGATCGTGCGAGGCTCACGTTCGGGATCCTTTCCGTCATTGTCTAGGAAGCGTTCAGGGTTGAATTGCGAAGGGTTAGCATATGTCTGCGGGTCATTGAGCATGAACCTGGCATGCAATTATATCATGTTGAATCCAGAGACATGCGAGCACCAACCAGATGTTAGGCATGATCAATGATCCTTTCGGAATGTAGTACCCGTCATAGATATCGTCCTCAGAGACACAGTGGGGGACCCCTATCTTTAGGCGATTGATACCGCTCGGCAATGAAAAGAATACAATAAACACGTACCCATAGGGATGACAACATTCCAGCGCAGGGATTCTTTCACAAGGGCCTCGATATAGGGGAGGGAGTCGCGGTCTGCCAAAGAGGGAAGACGATCAGTGCCAACAACAGCATCTATTTCAGCCTGAGCCTTCTTCTGCACATCAGGGAACAGTGTCATCGCCAGGAAAATTGAATAAATTGTAGAAACTGTCTGTGGAGACAGATATTAGTCTCACAATATAATAATCTATCTGTAATATGAAGGGAAGAGCTAACCGTGTCGGCACCACCGGTGTATAGGGATAGAGCAGACCATTTCACCATGTGATCCTCTTCTGCAGACAAAGTTCGGCCTTTCAACAGATTCGAGGTGAAAGACACAGGAGCAATTCCGGTAGCCTGTGATGTGTTCAACTCGTGATCGACGAACTGTAGATATTGCTTACTATCTGATCCTTGACGAATTTGTGTGGTGCAGCAACCAACTCTTCGAGGGTCTGGCTCCATTCACGGGCCAAGCATTTGAACCCAGCACCAGGAAACCACTCGGGAACCTTGGCCACTAGAAATAAGTCAGCTCATTGTAAATCTTAGAATACTGTAGTCTTACACCATGGCATGATGTCAACCATGAAGGCACCAGTATCGGTGGACCGCGATAATTGATTCATAGCACGGTCTGCAAGGTCGACGAGGGGATCATTATTCTCCTTAACCTCATATCCATGAGAGATTCGCAGAATGATAGCGCCAGCGGTGCTATAAAAAATCAATGCCCCGTTCATGCAATGATAAACACCACATACTGTCGAATATGTGCTTGCAATTGCTCAGGTTTTGCAAACACACGCTTCAGGAACCGGCGGGTCTCAATCTCCTCAATCGGTTCGTAGACAGCCATAGCAGCGCGACTGCCAATAATGCGGTGGATGTTCTTGCGGTAATAGCGAAAACGATCACCATAAGAGAGAAAACCCAAAGCGTACTTCCAGCCAACAAGTTCACCACCCATTGTAAGAACCGGACGGTCAGAGTAGACAGAGCTTTTCTTGTCTAGCAATGCCATCGCTGCCTCGACAGAATTCAGCACAATGATGTGCCGACCCAGAACTTCGACATGCGAGATGTCACCTGTATGGCATGAAATTGAAATGTATTGTGTTGGGAAACACAAGGCACTTACCATATTTTTTGCGCCACTTGGCAAAGGTGAGCCAGGCCTTGTTGTGGGGCATGTCTGCGATGTTCCCAATGAGAGGCCACCCCGGAGGTCCAGGGGGATATGGTGCAAGGTTCTTCTTTCTGAATGCCTGCTTGACCAGATACACTCCGGCACCAGCAAGACATAGTAGGTCCAGCCAAGTAACATTGGTGAATATCAGCATGCTAGCTGAGGAAGAGCAAAGATCGTGCAGTGAGCGATGAGATATTAGTGAGAGCAATCCGAGTCAGATGACGAATACAAGTCACGCTCTCCACCCTAGAAAATGAGGGAACGATACAAAGTTCAAGAAGGTGGTCAAATTTAGTTGTTTGGCAGGGTGATTGATGGCCGATCAAAGATGTTGTGGCGGCCCTGGAATCTTTATGTTATTGTAGGCGGAATTTATTGAGGAAAGATAAGTAGGCTGCGACTAATAGCGTTAATAACAAGAGACGATAGGCCTACATAGGAACTTCAGGGTCCAAACCGACTTGGGAGGATAGAATTATATTAGAAGTTGACGTAAGTAGTCGACTAGTCAAGACTGGGTAGTGACACTGAAAGCTTGTGTTTCAGTATCGTGGACAGTCACTTCGTGTAGATTATAGGAACTCCCAGTGTGCTTACAGATGAATAGATGTGGACCTGGATACCTCACTGCATGCCTTAGCCTCTCAAATGAGAAACGAAGATCACGTGTGAAATACTGCACTCAGAACGAGAAGTTGTGCGCGAGCTGTTGGGGAAGTAGTTGAGGGTGGCCACAATATTTACGCAAAGCCTCGAACGGAAGAGGAGCGTAATATAGGCAGGAGGCGCCAGGTACGCTGATCAGACTCGTTAGGTAGATCCAGGCTCTAATCCGAGACTGTTGAAACTTGAAAGGGAATTTGGCAGCTGTGCTAGAACAACCTGCTATAGCGTATTCACTGGCAGGCCCTGCATAATAATCAAGAAGGAGCGACTGTCTTCCTTCTATATCAGGCGAGACTAGTGTGTCGATGTGGGTTGACTGCAAATGGATCCGATAACTTATGTAACATTAGTGGGGGCGCGGCCCCGGCCGGCCCCCCTAAGTGGTATTGTATATCACGCGGGGGGTTTTCAAAATATTTTAGATGTTCATCACAATACAAGTTCGCGAGTGCAAAATGAGGGATACTATTCTCCTTCAATAAAACTGTAACGTGACTAAGGCTAGCTATTTACAGTGACAAGGACCTGTATAGTACAACATCCTAGATATTTCGATGTGTGTATACGAAAGAGCATCTCAACTAGTGTCGTGGGCAGAAAGGAATTGGCCTCTTGGCAGATGGCAGAATGGCAGAACGGCAATTGGCAGAATGGCAAAAGTTGGCAAAATGTATTGTGAGCGTTTTTAGCTCTTTTCAGCTATGTTTGTACTATGGCAAAAATGGTTTTGACTACTACACTAAGGCTATACCTGATGAGTCAAAAGTGCATCAATATCATACCCTGATGCACTCTCTGAGCTTCGATTGAGTACATTGATCTCTTCAACAAAGCCAGTTGGCACCGTGGATACCTTCTGCCCCATAATTTTCTCGCAGTTGGTCAGTAATTGATTCTGAACCTGTGAGATAATTCTGGTGGATCAGAGTCTGCTGCAAGGGGAGGAATCCATGCAAACGACCTTTGAGTCGACTTGGAAGTTGCAGAAGCGGAAGATGGGGATAGAATTGATAGAATTCGGCCTTGATTGCCTTTTTTGTAGTGAGGTAACCACACTGCACGAGCATGCCCGATGATCATATTTTTCAGTCAATTAGATGTTTATCGTGGCTCTCAATAGATAAGTACTGTCGTGCCGAGCAGCAGTTGCCTGTGAAAAAGTAGTGATTTGTTTTGTTTTTGACCAAATTTTGACTTTCTCCCCAGTAACTACTAACAAAGTGGTTGGACACAAGTTTTTGGACAGAATGGCCCTTGGGCTTCTAGGCCACATGTCAAATTTTTATTGTTTTTAGTAGGAACAAATACTAGGTCATCGTATTTCTGCCGACTTCTGCCAACCACCCTTGACCTACTGCCAGCAATTGCCGCTTGGCAATTGCCACCGGCAGAATGGCAGCATTCTGCCAACAACACTAATCTCAACATGCAATATCGATGGCTGATGGCAGCACACTACATGACATATAGCGTACAATCGACATCGTCATCCACCAAACAAAGTAATTACGATCAAGGCGCTCAGGACGTATACCATCAATAAATCCCAGGAATCAATTTATATCTCACTTTCTTGGCCCAATCCTCCCAATCCTCTCCCAGAGCACGCTGCAGCATCTTGTCCTCCACTGAAGATCGGTTGATGCTGACCGCAACGCCTGCCGTAAGCACAAGGAGGACAATCGCTACTGATGCTTTCATGTAAGGCAGTTGTAGAATTCCAGACTGCCTCATCCACGACCATTCGCTCCCGTGCGTAATGACAATCCCGACGTATTGTAGAAAGTAGCTAGTGTAGCTTGGGTGGCGGACGATAGAGTAGGGCCCGCTTGTCACGATTCTATGCTCCTTTCTGACGCTAAGCGGGAAGCTCCAGAACTTTCCCAAGGTTGACATGCAATAACGCCTGAATATGCCACCAACCGTGACAGAGAGACTACCAACAAGGAAAGCGGGAGTGATTGGCGTGGAGTGAAGTGCGCGCAAAAACTGCAGAGCGCTAGCGCCATAGACAGCATCTGGAATTTGCGAAGTACCCATATGCACGGCCAGTATGTTAGCCACTTCAATAGATGATGCTGCCCATGCGATAATCTGTTATATTATCCGCCAATCTGTACAGACAAAATCGATATACAGGAGAAACACACCTTGAATAAGTCTAGCAGCCAACGATCTAGACTCATGCTTTGCATGAATGATTCGGACGCCGATGGCACCATCTTCTCTTGAGGCGACGGGGGTAGAGAGGGAGAAGTGAGCGAGATATGCATACCAATGGCCGAAGCCACGAGGAAGGGGATCTTCAATAGACTCATGCTGTATCGCTGAACCTGCGATAAGTCACTTTAAATACCTCTTCTCCATTCCTGCGCAATAAAACTCCCACATTCCTGCACAGCAATAGGGTTTTGTAGTACTATGACCGTTTTGACCACCAGACTGATGCATGTGTTTGAGAGGTGTTGAATCCATAGTGCCATTATGCCAGTGCTGGCTCAATTTAGTTAGTTAGAGTTTACTTGGGGTCCAAGCACCGCCAAAGCATCGACAAACAAAGTTTAGATAAGGGTTGGGTCTGCTGAGGGTCAGGAATGATGAGGTCGAGTCTTACTGGGATTTAGGATGTGCTTTAAGACTGCTTGCAGTCGGATAATTTACTGCACCAAGTAGTATTGGCCCGTGCGTGCCGTAAGGTTTAAGCACGTCGTAGTCCCGTTCAGAACCTGGTTTGGCGACGCTTAGTGGTGCTCGGACTGAATGAATTAATCAGCCCTACTACATAGCAGCATAGGTGACTCCTGCATGGTTACAACATTTTTAGGACGCCCACACCTGAAGCTTCCTATTTATGGAAGATATCGAGCAGAGTTTGGGGTCTTTCCGACTCAGAGTGGTGGTTGGCGCCCGAACTTCGTTTACTCAAGGTTTGAAATCGTTCGAAGGAATCGAGAGAGGTCCGAATGATAACAGGGTACCATGAACTCATGTTGGTTGTGAAGCTGCAACCCAGCTGGGGGCATCTGGATTTGTAATCTTCAGGCAAGGCCAAGCTGGGAGATTGCTAAATTGATGTGTTCGAGACAGTAACGAGTCGTAAAAATGAGCTCATTATATGATGCGACGTTAGAAGCTGACAGACAGATCCGGACAGACCCGCACGCAGCCGGACGGAGACTGCCGAAAATTCGCATTACATACATAAATTTGAACGGGCTCATTGCATCATCCGAGTCAAACCTCAAGTACGTGAAGATGAGGATGTGTTATTGTGCATGAAGTCTTGTTGCCTGGCTCTCCATTCCACACCGCGATGCATAAATCGTTCTTCGTTGTTGTGAATTTGCAATCTTTCATTATAATACTAATCATCGCGGGTCAGCACCTATGGTCTGGTGCGTCAATCATGAAACATATGGCTTAAGCATACCGTATCCTTGTCCTTCATAAGCAGCAGAAGTACTCAAACGACGTGTCACAAGGCGTCACGAAGTCCGTCTCACAAAGACCTTTGGTGGGTCCTCTTCAAGTTACCAAGTAACAAAGACTCAAAGACCGCCTTCGGCGTTGATTGGTGCCACTCCGTTCGGCTATAAATCCAGGTTTGATCAAATGTTCTTGACTATCTGCCACGAGCACCAAGCTCAGCTGTATTACCATTTCGTGTTCCTTCGCTGTTTCTGTCGTTCCCTTGCTTTAATACCTCCCAGTTGTATCTGCATACCCTCGACATCACGAATCGTTTTCCTCTGTTTTCTAACTCTGCGAAAGCCACAATCAGCTTTCCTTGAATCCACAAACCATCTAATCGAACCATATCGCACGTCAACCCTTCAAGTGAATAATGAACAGCATCAATTTCTCATCTGGTTTCTTCCTGAATCTCATTGCCGGTCCGGATCCCTCCTTCGTGCCTTTTGCCCCAGTAAAACCCATCCCTCGGCTGCGGACAAAATGCTGTGACATCTCGATAAACTCGATGCACAAACAGCCTACCCAGTTACGCGAATATCACTTTCATGCATTCTTCAACTGTTCTTGGATGTCTCGTCCTTGCTCTCGTGTTATCAAGTTTAACCCGGACGCACCTATAGAGTGTCAAAAGGCCACGCCACCTACACCCGCGCGTCCTCGTATTAGCGCCAAAGTGCCCGCCGTGCATGAGATACATGATGCTGCTGCTAAATCAGTACGGTCCCGACACTCACACAAACCTTGGAAAAATATCGCCATAACCGAATACGATGACGCGGAGTTCGAGGAACTGCAAGCACGGTTGGTGTTTACCTGGCCGCCCGATTTGGCAGCCTACCGAAGAGAGGTCGAGGAGAGGGGCTGGGGTGAGGCAGCAGAGTATGCTGATGAAAATATTGTCCCTGGTGCCATCTATGACGCTTCACCGATAGAGTCGGGAAGCACAGACAGTTCCATGATCTTGACGCCGACTCGAGAAGATTATGATATTCAAACAGCCTGCACACCGCCGGCTATTCTGCACGAGGGGCTCGTAGAGCCTGAAGTTAAGGCTGGCGTTCTCGAGAAGGCAGTGGGGCTTCAGCGATTGAGACGCAAAGCACCACCTCCACTCAGTCTTGATATTAAGAAAAAACAGCATTTCATCGACGAGATTGGATGCACCCTGCTGATCGGCGATGGTGAGCGTACTGCACGGGAGATACTGGTACGTTTTTCATACCGTTGTGTCGAGTTTGATTCTAAGGCATGAGTAGATGCTAAGCCCGCTGACGGCAGCGATGAACATCACTAGCAAGTTATCTGCAGGGCTCCTCCTCAATATTCATACCTTTTCCGATGGACTATTATTCTGACGACCTAATCTTTGTCTATCACTGTAGCATTACCCAAGTTGGCCGGAGGTTCACTGTATCTGCATCTTCCTTGTCCTGTAGCGATATTATGATTGTATTTTTGGTGCTCCTCTTTCGCCATTGTGAGAGCATCACATGAATCGTTAATCAAATCACTCACTGGCAGACCGTGAGACGTAAGTAGTTGTTAAAATCACGACGGACATAATTTTCCACTCGAAGCTGGACACCGCGGATGGAATTGCAGCTGAAAATACCTTGGCATATTCTTGGACTGATTGCCTGAGGTTATGACGAGCTTGACTTGGAGAAATGAGTTCCCAATGAACCTAAGAAGTCAGCAGATACCATATAGGTGAGTCGTCATATGGCTGTCTGTGCTAAACGTTGACGACCTGCGATCTCCTGCAATTCATTGAGTGAAAAAACACATGTTAAAGGAGGTATGAGGCGAAGAATCAAACGTTCATCTAAGTGGGTTTCATGTAAGCTCACACTTCAATGAACTGCACACTCGCCCCGGAAGCACCTTCACTTCGAACTTAGCTGGTGACATGGAAAACAGTGAACACGCAGACTCGAGTGCGGAAATTCTGAGGAGGCTCATCTCCTCGAGAAACCTGCCGCGGAACTTGGACAAGTGTCAATGTAGAAGTAGAAGTAGAAGCTACCCGGTGCACTCGTTTTGTAGACACCTGCGATGCTAATTCAAGAGGATCTCAGGAGTAGGGGATCCTCTCACTTCCCCAAACCAAGGTGCTGCATGCGATTGGGCAATCACTGTTTTATTGTGAACAATTTGCTATGCCGGTGAGATTATCGAAACTCGCACGAGCAACCTTCAGCTTGGAGAATATCCTTTCAGTCAGCATGTCCAAGGCCTCCCATGATAAGGTTGTATGAATCAGTACTTGGACAGATGGGCGGTGCGCATAAAAGGCTCAATTAGACAATAGAAATTCGATGACGTCTATTGTGCCAGAGGCCACGTCATTCGGATCAAATCGGGACTCGGAAAACGCATTGTTTGTTTCCGACAAACACAGCTTTGAGTCGCAAGATGATTCACTGATTGACACCACATGCATGCATGGCAGCATGAGTACTTGCGGTATATAAAGGATGCCGCCGCCGATGCCACATCATGCATCGATATTCCAATCCTATCCCTCTCCCACAGTACATAGCGCTATCACGTTATCCTTGTGCCCCGTCTTTGCATTCCAGAGCAATGCAAAGACCTGCTTCGCAAGGTAAATCGTGATTTCCTGCTCGATCCCAGCGTAGTATACTGCATACATGCACTGCAGTGTATAAGGATGGTATACCATACATCCCAAGTCTGTTTAATCTCCCACACAAGTCACAGGCATATGCATAGTACTAGTATCTGGCGGTGACTTCCGGCAGCTTACTAGTCAGTGTCTATGTCTTTCTCATGCACAAGTTAACTGTTCAACTTTCACTAGCGGTCCGAGGCTGGATAAAATAATAAGACTCATGACGAATTCCATAACCCGATACGTCCCGTCTTAATGTTGATCTATGCGTTTTCAAGAGGTGAGCTGTAGATGATTCCTTCCAAATTTGCGTCCTCATGACTACATAGAAATTAGTGAAACCAACTCGATCGCCCATCGCCAAGTCGACGTCTTTTGGAAATTCTGTCTCTTCCTCCACGTTGCAAAACAGTCTCGATTCAAGAAAATGGAAGCGATTCGAAGCCCTGAGGTTCTACCGCAGGTTCGTACGTGAGCTTGGACACACTTCTTTCTTGCCTTGAGCCGCGTGGGTAAATCTGTACTAGTCTCCCTTACCCAGTCTCCCCTGCACCCCAAAATGTTTATATCCGAGGTCGATGTATGTTTGAGCGAATGAAGTTTTCCAGAAATACAAAGATACATTGAGATTCACACGCTGTATCGGATGCGAAGCCTGGTCCAGGGTGAGAAATGAAAAAGTCTCGCGGTTAAGTTATTAAAATTCAAGGGGACCTATATGGACCTATGCCACAGCTTCAAGCATCGCTGGTATCGACGATTGATGAGGAAACTTGTAATAATCGTCTGGCTTGTATTGTGTAGCAGTTAAGACATTGCGCAGCAGCTTGTGGGGCCGAGCACAGTTTGCGCTAAACACAAGGACACAAGGGTGTTGCATGAAATTCGGATAACGTAGAAACAAATGCCGAAAGATGGGACTCAAAAGTAAAAAATTTGATTACTAGCCTAGGCTTAGCTGTACGTTTAGTCCCGTCAACGAAGGAAACGAGTAAGGCTTCGGCGCCGACAGTCGAGAAAGGGTCTTTGAACGTCAACAGTCACGACATCGACTCATACCAAACGGTCATACCCAAGTTATACCCTCTCTTTCTCCTTCCAGCGCTACTTTAGCATCACTTGTCGACGACAACGTCGAGCTCGCTGTCTTTGACGACGATACACACACTCTCTAACCGTAATGAAGCAACCACCAGCGTCCCCTTCGTCAGCCCGGTCTCCGCGCAATCAATTAATTGGCCATCCAACTTTGGACCTCCATCACTCACATCATCATCATCATCTCTCTCCTACTTCTGCTTATCCACTCCCGACGAATTTACCAAAACCTACCAAGAGTTCTGCATTTAGAGGTTTACAATCCGTTTTCCAGCGCAAACCACCGGATCGCTCGCTATCCTCGAATTCTCTCCGCTCTTCCTATTCAGCTTCCAACGCATCCGCCACAGATAGTCACAGCCCTCATCCATACGCCGCAATGCCTCCTTTACCTGTTGTATCAAACAATGAACATGTCGATGACGAACAAGAATGTCCTGTATGCCTGGAACCCTTGAGCTTCAGCTTCAGACTTCCCGGAGAAAAGCCCCATGTAGTACCAGAGTGTGGTCACTCGCTTCATGAGGTCAGTTCTTTTCTTATCGTAGCATCTCAGTCCATCACACTCCCGTTCGTCTTACCATAGGCATGCTTTACCGCTGTATATGGCCCTCCTCCAGCCCAATCTCGCTCTGCAGTGCCTCGCAAATCAAATCTTGGCGTCTGCGGTGTTTGCAGACGACCCATGAAAATTGGCGACGGAGACAGTAGCAGAAACAATAGTGAGTCACGCTAGACACAAATTATTCATTAATTTCACTATGCTACAGAACTCGCCGCTCTGACTGGCATGGGCAATCCTCATAACCCTGCCGTATATCCTGGGCGGGATCAAGGCTCACGCTCTCGCCACAGCCCAGTACCTCAACAACCCTATGACCCCACAGATGACGATCCAATAGACCACGCCGTCTCAGTCAAATCAACCCCCAGCGAATCACACTATATCGTCGCACCTTCTATCCAAGTCCGCCCCGAATTTTCTTCTATCACTCGGAATGGCGAAACTTGTCAACCTTTGACCTGCATTGTTGTAATCGAGTTACCTGCCAGGCGTGGAACGGCTCATGTTCCAGGTCCCGTCATGGCTGATGCATACAGTTCTCACAGTGCTCATACGCTCACACGAAATGATACCGTAACAGAGCTGCCTCATCCATCCCAAAGACAAAATGATACCTTGCGACATCCATCCCAAACTCAGCGTTATGATTCATATACCGAGCCATGGTCATCTACCAATGCCGAGTCTTCCTATTATAGACCAGGCCCACCAGCGGAGGAAGAGGGTGAAGAATCATCACCTTTCAATGCTATCGTTGAGGATTTGCGCAACCGGATAATAGATTGGAAGGGCCACGCATTGTCTGGCCTTGGCCCCCTGCAAATGTATGACATGCTGTCCGTCCGCCGAGATGCCCTTGTGCGGGAGTTTTTCGTGTACCTCTTTAAGGAGGCCATCATTTGCGTTGTAGAGGAGAAAAAGCGGTCTCTTGGCCGGTTCCTGTCGTCCCCAGCCTTCAACGATGCCTCGACTTCCGTGTCAGGGTTGAGCAACAACCAGTCCAACAAGGGTGTCCTGCGCCTCAAGGGTCGCATTTATGTACGACATATCAAGCGTATTACCGCGAGCACAAGCGGGGAAATGAGCATCACCATTGAAATGGAAGATGAGCGACTCGACTCCTTCATCCTCGTTTTCAAAGATCGCTCTTCCATGGATGCGTGGAAGAGTCAGATCCAGGGCCTGGTAAATGCCTTTCAAAATCAAGCATCGCCGCCGCAGCCGTCCATCGACCGTGGCCTGGACATGGATGAGTTCGGAGATTCCGGAAAGGCTGCGCGGATGCTTAGCGGGAGCACTGCGTCCACATCACCAAGTACAGTCGATAGTTTACTCCATGGCTCCTCACGCTCCACCATGTCCTCGTCGACCTCCCATGGTTCCACGCCGCAACCTCAATCTAGACAAATGCAAACCAAACTCCAACCCCTCGGTGAGGAGGATGTACTTTCGCACTATGAGACGCATCCTTCAGGCTTGGTCGCACCACATGTATCTACTGGACCCTCCAATTCACTTGCTCCCCTCCCACATACGGCAATTGATCTCATTCTTATCGTGTCGCTTCCTCCACCGAGTGCTGCCCGCAGCACTGCGGCGCTTAAGCTGCGGGTCATCAAGGCATCACTGGACTTTATCCTCGCTTCTCTCGGAACCAAGGACCGTTTGAGTCTTGTAACTTTTGAAGTAGGACCTGGCGGGCGTGTGCGCAAAACACCGTACCTTTGCGTTGGTAAGGCGCTCAGCCGAGGAAGGCTATCCAAATTCATTGATGAAATTGGACGTCCGGATGGGGGACAAGACGACGAGTTCTTGGTGAGAGCATCCAAAGAGGAAAAGACGGACGTTGTGACTGCGGTTAACCATGGTTAGTGGTCAGTTTTTCATTTTTACTTTCTGCTGACCACATGTCTTGAAGGTCTCGATGTTGTACTTCAGCGCAAAACTCGCAATCCTATCTCGGGGATGGTCTTGGTGAGCGATGCTGCTGATAGCACGCGACGTGCACAGATGGATCTTGTTCTTGCCCGTGCCGAAGCTGCAAATATGCCCATTCACTCGTTTGGCTATGGTCGCTCCCACGACCCTGCTTCGCTTTGGCTGATGTCGAACCACACCAGCGGGACATACACCTTTGTCAAGGACTGGTATGACCTCCGTAGCTGTCTTGCTGGCTGTGTCGGCGGCATGATGTCCATTGGCCTACTCAACATGAAGCTGCACATGAAGATCGTCGACGGTCAGCGCTTCCGCATTCGCAAGGTCTCGGGTGGGCCTTCATCCATCCTCTCTACAGATGGCCACAACGTTGACATTGACGTTGGCGAGCTTCGCTATGGCGAATGCAAAGAGATGCTTATCGAGTGTGAGCTCGACAATACTGAGATTCGCCGTCCTTCTGCGCAGAACAGTAATCGCGCGCTCAATGCCACAGATCAGTTCGTGCAGAGCATGGGTCTTGATTCTACGACCATTGACGATGGTACTGATCTTGTGGATGGCATGATGGACCGGATGATTGATGAGGTTCCGGTGTTCGAGGTTGACGGGTCTTTCTATGATCCCAGCGCATCGAAACAAATTTCACGCCTCGCCCATCCCGTCCTCTTGACGATCACTCTCCTTCCTCAAGCTACCACTATCTCTCCCAAGCCAGTCAAACCATCAGATCCAGTAATCGTCCGGCGCAGAATGGAACTTCTCGCATCTGACATGATCACGCGCGCTCTTGTCCTCGTTTCGAGGAAGAACTACCCTCAAGCCCAGAAGATCATGAACGAGACCAAACGCATCTTGCACACTGTGCTGCAGAGCATCTCCAAAACACTTCCTCCGCCCAATACCGAAGGCACGACGATGCGCAACCGCAAGGATGTCCTCACTCTTGCTGCGGTGCGTGCGATGCAGGCTATACTCCAAGACCTTCAGATTTTGGCAGAGGCTTTAGAAGAAAATGTCGAGCTGTTTGCACATGACCAGCGGAATTTTGGTGCACAGCAGGTGCGTGTATGTTTTTTTGACGATCTAACAAGTAGGACTGACTGTGGGCCACGATTATAGGCTATGATATTGCGCGACCAGAAAAGTTGGAGTGGACGCAGTGCCACAGAACGCCTGTTCTGGACCATTGACAACTCCATAGAACTGGTTTCTCGGAGTACCGATTGGGTAGCGCGCGACTGATACCCCTGCCCCAAGACATCATCTCTTTCTCTTCTCTTCTTTATTATGTCCCTCGGCTGGCTACCCTATCTCATTTGTGTTCATGCTTTCTCGTTCTGTTATGCCAGCGTGGTTTCAACCTCATTACGCTCCTTCCCTTGTGTCACTGTCCTTCCTTGTCCTTGTCCTTGTCCTTAAGTATCACCCAGCTCCGGACCCTCTTAATGTAACCTCCCGCAGTCTCGTCTTTATGTCGAGGGATGCGCTTTATGAATCCTCTCTTCCTGGATGTTCCTAAATTTTTATTTCCGCGTGTTATTTACTTAACTGTGACTTCTCATTATATATCCACTCCCACTTTTCTTTTATTCCTGGCCCAAGAGGTGGGAGTAATGTAGTTGTTTGATTATGTAGGAAGGAATAAAGCTTTTTTATCATCATTCTCCTGTTCATTATAATGAGCGTAAAGTACCTATGTATGATGGAATTATCATGGCGTGGAGGTGGGCTGTTAGTGTTTATTCATAACCTAGTCGTTGGCGCTCTTCGCGATCACGTTCGAGTTTTGTGACTTTATTTTCGGTTTCTGTGAGGACGTCATCCCATGCCACGAAAAGTTCGGAGAGCGCATCCACCTAAAAGAACAAGTCAAATTGTGAAAACCGGTTGAAGATGTACGAACGAATACGCACATGAGTAGCATGTCTGTCGACAAGAGCTGCTATTCGTTTCTCTAACGACGCAGCCAATCTAATATCCTCCTGATGCGCTTCCAAAAGCGCGTCCAAACGAGGCTGCAAGGTTTCATAGTCTAGAGACAATCGGAAATGAGAATCTTGGTGAACGATCAGTATGGGTCTGCACGACAGACCTGCGAGTCTTCCAGCTGCTGTCACGCCTTTCTGTTCTAGCATTTCGATCTCGCGCATGTCCCTATCTGCAGCTCGAATTTCTGGTTCCATCTCTACCAGGAGCGCTTCAAGTTCTTCTGGGGACATGTTTTCGTATGCCGGGGCTGGCCCAGGGAGCACCCCTGACAGAGCAAATGCTGCAGTTAGTAGATGGGCGTGTAGGTCATCTATAGTAGGGGATGGACGCGTCAGAAACGTGACGAAAGACGTGTTTTGATGACCTTACATTTGCTCATGAATCTCTGAAGACCGTCGTTGGATTGTATGACGTTGTCGAGGCGCTGTTGTACGTCCTCGGCTAAGCGAATGAGGGTTTCACCGCGCTTGAGCTCTGGTACTTTGTCCTTTCCTTTACGATCCCGCGCATCCTGCCGCACGCCTAGAATCAGCGCTTCCAGCCAGCGGAGTCTCAGCTCCAGCGATAGGACGGGATCTATGACGGGAGGCGCGGTTGATGGTTCGAGTTGTGCTAAAGGCATCACAGCAGCCGGAGTCGGCTGTTCATCAGACAGCTCTGACTGGGCATCATCCAAAGGTTCTACGAGTTCCTCGAGGGATTGCGAAACAGATCCAACACTCATTTGATGTCCAAGTTGGCTGGGCGGAGGTGATGACGGTGGAGGTGTGGAAGATATTATACGATGTCGCTGGAAATCTCCCAGGAATACACTTCCAATGGCTGACATGGAGACAGAATACCGTTAATCGTGAGATATTACCCTTGTATCTTAATACGTCTCGTAGTGAAGTTGTTCGTTATTGGAACGATCTACTAGGTGGCCTACTAGAAAAGGGACCAGACTCGGAAAGCCTCGTGCCTTTCTCCTTGAAGCCGCGCGCACTTGCTAGTTACTATCTGTGATCAGGTTTTCCGGGGGGCAGATGCGGCGCCAGGGCCCAGATAGCGCCTCATGACACTCGTAATTCACACATGTAAGTAAAAGCGGTCGAATGTCCAGTGTACTCGCTAACTACAAAATATCGTAGTTGTATCGTACAAATGATAAACATGATAAATGCGGCTTCCAGGCGAACTGATAATATCTTATGTATGTCAGTAATGATGCAGTGAACAGAGTGAGGTTTCGGTGAAATGTTAAGTTATGTATCAGTTTATGAATCTTAAAGATAATGCTTGGCTTGGATATACCAGAATAATTCATGTATGCGAAGACTTTGGCGACGCGCCAAGGGATATAACACATCATTGTATCACTGAAGATGAAGAAACCGTACTCCGTACGTTTGCGGGGAAAATCGCTCAAGCTCCGCAACAATACGTTCTCCTGTGGATACTCTTCTGAACCGGCCATCGCGAAGACGTTCTAGCAGGATCGCAAAGAATTGGTTCTTGAGTCGTTGACGAAGCAGCGGCATGGTAATGTGGTATACATGCGAAGAGTCATAAGACAGTCGTGGATCCCAGGTTCGTGCCAGCAGATAACGAGATGAGGAATGGCGGTCAGGTGTAAATATTTCCAAATTCTCGGAGGTGACAAGACTGAATGGTCGGATGCCGTCTGCACAACAAGAGTATGACCCCGAGACCGGTGTGAAGTAAAGCGACAGTACTTCATGCACAAAGCACGGCACAGTGATGTGAATTTCAGCGTTAAGAGTGTATGGCCGTGGGGGCTTCTCAAGCAGTCTGGCAAGGGGTATCATCTCGCTCCCTTCAAACGGAAAGCTTGTAGATCGTCCGAGCAGAAAAATGCTCTGACTACTTGTGGTCTTTGCAATGTGTGGTGCGCCATCGTCGTCAGACATCTCAACGCTTAGCTCCTGACCTGTGTTGTGACCATTCCGGACACGAGACGAGCTGAACATAATACATATGAGCACAAACACGCACTTAAATTGAAAAAAATCTCACTTTCTTGCCCTGCGGATAGCCTTTTTAAACACATAGACGACCTTAGCAGCCAACGCAAAGCTCAAAACAGGATGAGGGAGGGTGTCGAAACACATTTCCATAGTTGCGAAAGGAGCGTTCGAGAAACAACTCGGGGAGGAAGGAAGGCAAGTGTTCAAAGTGGAAGGCTGCCCAATCCAGTCGAGGAGAGTCGCATCTCCCGTGCGCCTCATGATCTCCATCAAAAGTCGAGAGAATGCCTGATCACCTTCTCCGTAGGTAACTGACATAGTGAATCCGAAGATTCCCATCAAGCAATACGCTTCGTCTTCCTTCTCCTTGGTCACTCTATTCTGAGCCCATCTGAGCTTCATTCGAGGGTGCTCGACACTTGGGGAATAGAACTTGAGGTAACTTTTCTGTATCCCAGTTGCAGATTCTAACGCAACCAGGATCTCAGCAACGTTCTTGTGGTTGGATTCTGGGGAAAATGGAGTCCAGTCCTTCTTGTAGAGCCGAATGACCTTGGCGGCAAGCAGCTCCTGAAGAGTCCAGCCTCTCCGGAACCACTCGCTCAGTAAAAGTGCCTGACTGCTGGATTCCACGACATCAGAGAGGTAGATGATCGTCAGTGCCGACCCGCGATACCATGAGAACATGGACGAGATGGACTTCTGTACTTCGGCGCTGCTCCCCTGATCAATGCAGCATGTGTCGATCCACGTCCAGCGAAATCCACGACTGCGCGCCTTATCGCAGAGATTACGAACTTTGTCGAATCTCGATGTAGAAAGTGTATAGACCCCCTCTTGCGGGATATCTTTGAAGCCAGGTTCGTCGCCCTCCCACCTGTGAGAGAGCATGGTATATTCAAAGAAGGGTTTGACCACTTTAAGGATGTACTGCTTTTCTTCCAGAGCAGACCTGGTGGTTGTGAGGTGGAGAAGCCAGCGAAATATATTCGACTCTTCGAATTTCGTGATGAGAGCGGAGCGAGCATAGATTTTTCCATCTTCGGTATTCAGCAACCGAAGGGGCATGTCACGAAGTATTGAATCTGCGATATCTTGAATCGCCTGCTTGACTTGCTGTTTGCTCACGTTTCCAGGTGGAAGGTCGTCTTCTCCGTCACCCCGTGCGGTATAAAAACTCTGCGATTCAATTTATATGTCAGGTCATGTATCGTGTACAAGGAACAAGGTTTACCTCCACAGAGGATTGTCCATCTGGGATCCGAAACATCTGTAGTGAACAAGGTTGTGGAGGTCAACAGAAGAAGCAGGCAATAAGTTGTTACCCCGAGGAACTCGTACTAAATGAGAATAATTGATCATACCTTTCGTAAGTTGACGATGACTCCTTTCAGGTGCGCAGGAACGTGTGGCGGCTGGTACCAGATGGACCTTGAACCCTTAATAGTGTGATAAGCTGATACCCTGCAAAGCATTGGGTTAACAGATATACTATTTCTGGCTTGAGAGCACCCGCGTCTAACTCGTAGCTTCGGGATTAGATATCTTCAAGTATACTTGTAGAAAACCGGCATGAGTAGATTCATACTACACTATGATAATCGGGGAAGGGCAATGACAAACTTGTAGCACATTGCGTCAATGGACCCGGAAATTCCAGGGTCACCGGGTGGGCCGGCCGTAGCTAGCGCTCACGGCCTATCTGCCGACAGCGCCATGTGCATCGAATGTTATCACGTTGAACAATATGATGCACAAAAATGCATAATAGCGTAGTACTCACCAGTATGAAACTGAAGGAAGTCAGAATCGCCGTGTCAGAGGGTGTGTCGTGGGCCACTCGCGGGCTGGGCAGGTTCAACGATATCATGGTGACAATTAGGGTCACTTTGGCTCGACCACCTCAGACCTGCCAAGCCGCCAAACTTGAATATGATAAGAGTCTGTGACATGATACTGCTCAAATGATTGGGACATACTCGAAAATAATACCCACAAATATGAGTCACTATCACATCAGAATCTTATAAATTTAACTTGAATACGATAGTCACTACACGAAGAAAAACTAGGTATACATCAAGTCAACATCAAGTAGTACACATACAACCGAACTTCCAACTTATTCCTATCTTACTCAAACACTATCCGACATTTCCATCGAAAGCTGGCTATACCCCTCATCCACCCTCCGCCTCCTCACCAATCCCTTCACCGAATCCCACATATCATCCAACACATTCATCCCGCTCTCGAACAATGTCTCCCCAGGGACCATCTCCCCGGGCATCACGCTCAACACTGGCCGTCGCCACCATCGCAGCATCAGGGAACTCGTCACTACGCTCACCGACGAGAACGCCATTGCGGCACCTGCCAGCATCGGATGCATATACAGCCCAAAGGGTAAGAACACGCCCATCGCAAGCGGAATCCCAAGTACATTATATATACACGCCCAGACAAGATTTCGTCGGATCGTCGAGAAGATACTGCGCGAAAGGTATAGCGCAGCGACGACGTCGAGGAGATCAGAACGCATGAGAACGATGTCGGCAGCTTCTATAGCTACGGAGGTCCCTGAGGAGAGGGCGATGCCGACTGTGGCAGCCACAAGGGCGGGTGAGTCATTGATGCCATCACCGACCTGAAAGGATAAGATGCACAGGTCAAATTCAAGTCATCCGAACAAAGTAGAGACACATGCCATTGCTACACCGCCATTGCCCTGCTTGATGAGATCGGTTACAAGGGACGCCTTGCCTTTGGGACTCATGTTGGCCCAGACACCATCGGACCTGATCCCCACTTGTTTGGCAACCGCCAGAGCTGTGACCATCCCGTCACCGGTCATCATATTCACCTCAATGCCCATGCTCTGTAGTGCCTTGACTGCCTGCGCAGACGAGGGCTTGGGGGCGTCCGATAAAGAAACTGCAAGCAAAGGCAACGGAGCAGAAGATGCCCTGGGACGAAGAAACGAAGATTACGGTGCGACCGAGCTTGGTCTCTTGAGCCTCGTAATTCGTCAAAATGGAAGGGAGTTGTACAACATTGGATTGCGCGATAAACCGTGCATTTCCGATGTATAAAGTATAATTGGAACCAGATGATGAGATGAGAGCTTTCACACCAGCGCCGGTCACGCTCTCGAAAGACTTGATGTCCAATGCTGGTGATTGGACATCAGCACCGGCAAGTAGACTCTTGCCATGAGCGGCGATTGCCTTCGCCAGAGGATGCTCAGACTTGCCCTCCGTGGCAGCGACCATTGCTATGATAGTTGCGCGCGTAGTAATGCCATCAGCACATTTGAACGAGAGAGATTGAGAGCCGACGTTGTCATCAGGTAACAGCTCAGAGGAATTGCGCGGGGGCATCCATGTCATACCCGCAACAGTGAGTTTCCCCTGCGTGACGGTGCCTGTTTTGTCCAGCACAATCCGTTTGATCGACCGACTAGCTTCCAGTGCCCTGCCACCTTTGATAAAGATCTGGTTCTTTGCACCCACACCCGTGCCAACCATGATGGCAGTCGGCGTACTCAATCCTAGAGCACACGGGCATGCGACCACCACCACTGATATGCACATCTGCAAACAAACTGCTAACCGGCTTGCGCCATGGCGGTGGAACATAGCTGGGAGCGCATCCTCGCTAATGACATTTGAAATCACCATCCACGTAGCAAATGTGAATACTGCGAGCGAGATGACGGCGGGAACAAAGAAGCCTGCAACACGATCCGCAAATGTTTGAATCGGTGCTTTGGACGTCTGTGCCTCTTCGACGAGTTTGACGATTTGTGCAAGCGCCGTGTCTTTGCCCGCACGTGTCACCAGCATGTCGAAAGTCCCAAGGCCATTGACAGTGCCCCCAATGACGCTGTCTCCAGGTTGTTTCAACGCCGGAACCGGTTCACCAGTGACGGCGCTTTCATCCACGGTGGATGATCCTCGAATAACCGTCCCGTCAGCGGGCACTTTCTCTCCGGGAACAAGTTTGACAGTATCCCCCACTTGCACCAGCTCCGTAGGAATGCGTTTCTCTTGCGTACATGTCGGAGAGTCCGTGTAGATTGTGGCCATGGTGGGTGTGAGGGCCATGAGATCTGTCAGAGCAGCACTTGTCTTTCCCTTTGCGCGGTTCTCGAGATAACGCCCGAGGGATACGAACATGATGAGCATGGTACTTGTGTCGAAGAAAATGAAAGGACGGTAGTCAGGCGTGGTGTTGAACGCCGCAAAGAGTAAGGCAAATAACGAATAAAAATAAGCCGCAGAGGTTCCGAGCATAACCAAGACGTCCATGGTCGCGGTACCATGTTTAAGTGCCTTGAACGCATTCCGATAGAACTTCCGACCGACCCAGAATTGTGCAGGAGTCGTAAGGCCAAGAAGAATAAGATCACCGAGATAGATACCGTTGAATAGATGAAAACCGACGAGGGGTCGAAGGAATGGTACATGCATAGCGATCATACTGACGAAAAATACTGGGACGGCGAATGTGAGCGCCCATTTGAAGCGACTGGCCCACTCTTGGATCTCTTTGGTTCGGGCAAGTGATTGTTTTTGCGTCGCGTCCTCTTGATCTGACAATATTGCATCGAAACCCATATCTTCTATGCGTTCGACGATTTCCCGAGGGCCAACGAGGCTTGGTTCAAATTCTATCTTGGCTGTCTCGGTGGTGAGCGAGACTGCAACACTAACCACCCCTGGCATCCCACGCAGCCCCGTTTCTACAGTCGATGTGCACGAACCACATGTCATGCCATATATGCGCAGTGTGATCATATCAGACCGCGCTATTGGTATTTCAGTGGCATCAAATCCTATGTCTGAAATTTCCTGCCGATAATGATTAGCATGCGCCTGACGCATCAGCGACGGACTAACATTGACAATCTCCTCTGGTGTCCATACTGAGGGGTCATACTCGACCACACATCTTTCGGCAAGAAGTGCAACTTTGATGGAATGTATGCCAGCTTGCGGCCTGAGCATGCCTTCAATAGACTACAACCCATGAGTACATGTATAATGCATCGGTATGAGAGGAGCTTACCTCTACACATGAACCACATGTCATGCCTTCTATTCGTAGTTCACATTTTCCAAAGCTACCGTTGCCATCGACCTTGGTGACTGCCAGCGCCTCACCTTCCATGAGAGGAAGTTCGACATTTCCCAGAGCTACGGGCTTCGTCCTTTCCAAGACGCTTGATACAATGCCAGATATGATGGACATGCTTCAGATAGCCACGAGGGGCAAAATATTTATATATGCAACGCCTGGTGCACTACGCCTGGCTGGAAGTTCGGAACCGTTCTCGGTTGGTGTACGTAGTGTTTTAGAAAAGAGAAAGTGGGCGCCAGCACTACGATGGCGATGGGATTACTTATAGGCCAGCTTTGAGGCTAAATCAGCGAGCGAAGGAAGGCTTTGTAAAGGAGACCGAGCTGTTGCAGTATTCACCGCATTTTAGTATGAGGCACACGTAGGTCTATATGTCTTACGTCATCATTCTAACCGTTGGACTCGGCGGAGCCCCTTACATACTTCTTTCTCACCTTATCCGATGGTGCCTGGACGCCTGAACTCTGAGGTTGTCCTCGATGAATCTTTCAAGTTTTGCACAACCGTGCAGTGAAGTTGACAACGATCGCGGGCTTAAGTTGGTGTTCAAAGTTCCCAGATCAATATTGCCTGCATTCCTTCGAAGAGCTGTGACCCTCTTCCTTGACAGCGATACCATTTTAATCGGTATCGGGCACTGTCAATGCTACATCTGCAAAACGACTGAAATGAACGCTTAACTTACGCGCGTTACGAACACTTACGAACACTTACGACTTCAGTAGCGAACTCAGGCGATTGGTGGAGATGCCTGAACACCAATATAACACACCAAATCTGGCTGATAAAACTTAAGCCAGTTGTTTTCCGTTGATAAGATGTGATTTGTGATATGATAGATGCTGATAGTAATAGATACAATCACTGCGTACTGATTAAGCTACTGTCTACACAAACTCGGTACTGAATGTGTGATAACTTTCCTTGTCTGCGAAATTATTCAGGAAAAAACGCTCATAGCGTTCCAAAGAAGTCGCAGAGGACACACTGTTGGCCACTGCCTCACCATAAACTGGTATCAACTCAACCGCATGTGTCACGTCTGTCACTCGTATGACAGCCCCCTTCCTACAGCGATTACCGTTTTCCTCCTGCGTGTATGTGCGCTCCACGGTCCACATCGCGAGTTCAGGACGATCATCAGGGCTGGAAATGAAGTGGAAAAATTGGACGTAGAGAAGTGGGTCTGAGAGACACGATGGTAATTCCAGGTTGGAACCTCGTCGAACTGTCGGTTGAAAGATGAGTCGAACCTGCGCGATGCAACTCGCTGTATATGATATCAGTAGGCTACAACATAAGCACATGAAAGACATACTGGTTTTGCCATCAATGCCTGTGGTCTCCACGAGAACAGTATCACAATTTCCAAAGGGAAAATCATCGCTTGGTGGGTACGCTTGTACCACGCGACTTGGCATGATGACTCGCGGCTGGAAGGCCGAGTGAAGTTGCAATCGGAATTTGTGCCATACCTGGAAGCGCCCATACTTGGGGTCCCAGCAAGAATTTTCACCACTAGAAAGGGGGGAACAACATATGAATTCGGCGAGCGCACGCTCAAAGCCCAAGAGTGCATATTTCGTGCGTATGTCAGACGGTGATAGCGATTTGTAATCAGGCGTGATATTGAGTTGAAAAGCAGTGAGGGCATCTCCAGAGAGAATACCCTTGAGAAAGTGATTGCGGACTGGTCGGGGACCATGTATTGACTTAACTTCGTCAGGGAGAACTCGGGAGACCCAGGAGAGTGCGGGATTGGCAATTGTGACATCTTCATCTTCGGCGTATATTGCATTAACTAGTGACGCCCCGCGAGAAGTTAACAGCGTGTACAGGCCAAACATTTCCATAGACTCTTGGCGGTTAAGAATCCGTATGCACTGCTCCGTGAAGTCTTTGATTTGCCGGGACGTCCGCGGGAAAAGGTCCTTACAGTGTGTGATGAGTAACCGCTCCGTCACATCAGCGGAGAACTGCATCAAAGTGCCTAATTTCTGAATCGTACCATTGAAGCTCTGCAGAAGCTCGAGTTTTGGAATGAAAAAATCTTCTTTGACGCCCTTCTTCCCCTTCCTTGCCTCGGCCTGGATGATAGCGTCCTTGCAAGCGTGGAAATCCGAAAGTGCTTGAACCATCAACTGAAGTGATTCAGGGGAGTGAACCGGATTTTGTGCGAGGTAAAAGAAGTCTACAAGGGCACGGATTGTACGAACGAATCTGGGTGGAACGGCCCCTGCGATCGACGCAACGATAGTGCGTTGAATGTCTCTATGCTCGCGACCTGTCATTTGATTAACGTGTGTGATGCCTTTTGCGAAGTGGCGCGTTCCAACTCGCTTGTGCTGGACCATGAAGCGGGTATCGAGCTCATAATCTCCTAGAGCTTCTTTGATCCATTTCAGCGGATGGTCCGCGAAAAACTTATGGCAGGTGTGCAGCACCTCACCAGCGAGGAAAACGGATGGACACGCAAACATCCAATCACGCCAGTATGGCATGTGAACTCCAGATAGATTAACGGCTTTGGCCGCTTTCTGGAATTTGTCGAGGTCCCAGGGATCAACCTGTCGAGATATCTCCACAATGAGCTGCAATGTATACTTCCCGGTACGGGGCGGGTGGAGAATTCCATCCCCAAAATCCGCTTGTGTTGCCATAGTTAGTGGGGATGAGTTTTTACTGACTGCGGCGATCATAGTAGCCTCCGGTAGGTCGCACACATGAGCGATGAGTGGCGTAAACACATGGCGAATATAGCGGGAAGGATCGGGCATGAAGCAGCCATCCTTTGCTGCGACCTTGAGGTTGGCGAAAACAAGGTCCAAACATTTGTGCCACAGTCTGGCCTGGAGAATAGACTGGTAATCTGTGTGAACGCGGAACTTGATTACGGGAATGTAGGCTACGCAGCGCCAAGCTCGCAATGTTGCCTTGGAGCGAACCTCAGAATCAATGTTACCGATTGTGACGAAGACCGGATGCATCTCAATTCCTCCAGCAAGTCGCGTCACGGGTGTTTTATCAGATCCCAAGATTATTGGGACTTGAGTCGCACCCAACGGGAGATGGTCCTAGAAGTAAAAATCAATCTGTTACTCAGCGAGGAGTATATGAATGGGAGGGCGAACAAACCTGAATTTTCCATGCCATGTCAGCACTCATATAGTCTCCGTATTCACGTTGATTTTTGACATTAGCGACGTAGGGGTTGAAAGTCATGTGGTTCGCAAACGTTGGGTCACTGAATAGTTGCTTCACGACCTCTAGCGCATCGCGCCAAACGAGCTCCACAGGACGGACAGTCTTATAGCCCTTAAATGCTAGTTTGGAGACTTTCCACGGGGCAAAAGAAGGTAGTGAATCCATCCAATCCAGGAGGTGGTCTTTCGTGGTGAAAGAGGGTCTTGCGCAATTCGGAGCGTCAAACTGTGAAGGTAGGATCAGATTGAGGAATACAGCTTAGATCGATATCCGTCATTTACCCATTTCAACTTTAAGAACTTGGTTATTTGAGTTTGAGTGAGGCTTTCCACCAAAAACTTCCCTAATTCCCATTCGCCTTCATCATGGAAAGGGTAATAATGATTTATCTTCCGTCGATGCGCATATTGATCGTCTTCCAGTTTATCCAGCATATTTCTACCGACACCATAGACGTATCCAGATTGCGGGTGACAAGTACCAGTGACGGGTATCTGACCACTTTGATTGAATACTGAAGGGACGGGTAATGTTCGTGGTCGTGCGTCGGATGGCCAGCAAGTAGATGGAGAATTGAGATGTGAGATAAGCGCCTCGATGGATGTATATTCCCCCAATTTGCAGTTGGGACATAGCCTGTCAATGGTATGTATGGTATCGTAAAGTGAACAATGGAAGTACTTACATTGTACCGTAGACTTGGCTTAGACTTAAGCCGGTGAGTGTTTACAGGAAGTAACAAGTCTTTCAAAGTCCGAAGACCTCACGTTTCACAGCGCACAGTCATCACGCCAGGCTAAGTAATGGAGCCTGTGTCCTCATCACCAGTCTCATCTCCTGCTCGTCCAAGTAGCCCTGCTTTCACCAGCACTACATCAAGTAGTGCAACTCGCGTAGAACTAACTTCCTCAGAGTTCTTTAAGAAGGTTGACCACCCTGAGTCACCCCATATCAATACCATGGCTACTGAGCTCTTATCTGGCTCTGACTGTTCACTTTCTCCCAAGCTGTCCCCCTACCCCTCAGGTTCTCCAATAATTCACTTCTCCCCGGTGGAAGAAATTCCGTACCTTCCTGATGTAAAGGATAGTCTGTTGTATAAGCCTGACATTTTACAGTCCCCAAAGTCACCTTCTCGAGTAGCTTACCTGCGTGAGAGGTCGACCAAGAGGCATATTCCATACCCCCCCAGGCCATCTCCACTAGAACTTCGGTTTGCCAACCGCGTGACAGGGCGAGTACGGGAACCAGACTTCACATCTGAACAACTGCAAGAGGTATTTGTTTTTCTTTTCTTTGTTCCAGAAATTCGCAAATTCTCACATGATCTATGTCCAAAAGCATGAGGACGCAATATCCAGCGGTCTCTCACGGATGAGCTTTGACACCTTGTACAAAGCGTTCAAGGCAGTACTCGCTAGTCACGAGGCTGCTCGCCATGAGGTGGCGACATCGTTATGGCAGGTCGAATACTCGGAGCGCATGACAGTGTTTAATCAGGCGCTCCACGAGGAGAACAAAAACCGCCTCAATTTGAGGGACGAACAGCTGAAGAAGATTAGGAACATTTTTTCTGAGTGTGAACGCACAGAAATCGATGATGACACGAATTACATTCAAGCTGTCTACAACGATGAATGCGAGATGCTTCGCGCCATCACCACCCAAGCAGAGATAATCTCAAAACGCCTGGGATCACGTGCCAAACGTGAATTATTAGCGTCTACCGGCGAAGTTCCCTACCTCCCTCGTTTCATTGGCACCTCACAAAACAGGGACAACATCACATGTGCGCTGCGTGGTGGTTTCACGGATGCCGGTACCGATACCGATACCGACTCCGATATCGATTTCGGCGAAGAGGAGGATCGTCGCAGCGGGTGGCCGGGCCAGCAGCGTGCGCAGTTGTGACTATCGATGGTATGTGACTATCAATGTTATGTGACTGCCAAGTTGTTCACGCCACTCACTGATCAATATCAGTGACACTCATGTCACTGTTCATAGATTGTTATCGCCTTACTTCGCCCGTCCGTAACATGCTTCGACCGTTCATATACACGCTTCGACCGTTCAATAAAGCGCTTCGCCCGCTCTGGCCGTTCATATATCTTTTTCTCCCGTTCATAAGTCGTCTTATCGGACCATGCCCCCCCCCTTCTTTTTACGCTTCATTAGTAAATGGCCTTGCTTTTTGTTGTCAAATCATCTTATCAGCTCGTCACGCGTTCCCGGTTTGTAAAGATCGTGTAAAGTTTGTGTTTCTTTTCCCCCTATGTACCGTTACGTTGTTTCGCAACTTAAATGTACGCATGCGCTCTTACATCCCCTCCAACTTGAATGCCTAGTGAGCGTGGCCCTCAGCGAAAAACTAAAGCTAAAGTCCCCAAACCGCCACGCGGTTCTGGCCTCAATCCATCCGGCGAACCAGCAAGTGGCCAACTTCACATTCCTACTGAGCAGCCGCGTATGTCTCAGTTCAACTTCGATGCGCATGCGGCCAGTGGAGGAGTTCCTACCCCCATATCAAGTGGGAGCACATGTGAGTCAATCACACTTTCGTTCACTGATGACTCTGACGATTTCGCAGCATCATATGGCTGGAGTATGCAGAACACTGACTTCGACGGCCGCTTCCCTCACGGCCAATACTACGGCGCTTCGTCCTCGGAGGGCCCCTCCCAGGGCTCTTCTTACGGACCCTTACCTCAAGGCTCCAACCACGACTTCCCTTCAAGTACCCCCCTTCAAGGTACCGGTACCAGCACGAGCGCGTCGGAGATGACGCTGATCCAGCGAGGTGAGATTCCGCCAACCGATGTGATGCATGTAAGTTCTTTTTCTTCTTCAATTCGTTTCCTGCTTACCACTCACTTAGACGATGGGCCCGCCAAGGGAAACAACGAGGCGAGCCCGACGTGCGATGCCACCTACGCCACGGATGGTTCCGTACCCTGCCATACGCCCGCAGGGCAACACCCAATCTCTACCATCAGCAGTCGAAGATTCAACTTCGCAATCTGTAACGTCGTCAACACCTCAACCCACGCGCATCAAACTATCGGATGATATCATTGGCCAGTCCATGAAAACGGCAACGCATTTGGTCACGTGCGAGTTATTTGGAGAACAGGCGATGGCGATTGACAAAGCCGCCAAGAAAATCATGCTGAACAAGGTCATCTGGGACTCGGTACCACGCTGCTTTGCGCCCAATGGTGAGTATCATATGTCCATTAACATCATACTGACTTGTTTTATTAGCAACGTTTGAGGATTTTATCTCAAATAAACATCGTAAGGATGTTGCGAATGCGTTGTCGTCAACTCGCGGCAAATTCGCTGAATACGCGCGCAAGGGCGTGTTCCATGCATATCGGCTTTTCCCTCCACTGCACATTGCCGCACCCGCTATCACCTATCGCAAACGCTTGATCGTTTTGTTCGAGGATGCGATGGACGAAAGAATGACAGAAAGAATTCTATAAACGAAAGTAGTAAGTACTCAGTCTCAATAGTCGAAGACTTGGAGACTACTAGCTGACCTATAAACGAAAGTAGTAAGTACTAGAGTAGTAGTCAGTATCGTAGTAAAGAGTCTAAATAAATAATATCATACCTCAGTCTCAATAGTCGAAGACTGAGGTGCTAAGTAATATAAAACTTCTAATGAGCGCATAGCGTATTATGTAAGCGAGTGTTGTTTGTTGTTGTCCGAATCAAAGTTATCACTTATCTATAATCTTTCAACACGCCCACTCAACGAATCAAACTCTCGCCGTTCAACACTCCCATTCCTTCGATGAATCGTCCATGCTTCTCGCGCGCAAGTGCCTTCGTCAAAACGTCGGCAATCTGTTCGTTCGTGGGAACATACTCAACGCATATCTCTCCTTCCTCCAACTTTTCTCGGATAAAGTGATACCGGATCGCGATATGTTTGGTACGTTCGTGAAACATGGCATTTTCAGCTAACAGAATTGCAGATTGATTGTCGATTTGGAGAGTTATTGGGGGAGTTTCTGAGGAGTTTAGTTCTCTGAGTAGGGTCCTCAACCAAACGGCCTCCTTCGTAGCAGCGGCGGCGGCCATATATTCTGCTTCGGTACTGGAAAGTGCGACTGAACTTTGCTTCTTTGAACTCCAACTAACTGCTCCTCCAGATATTGAAAATATATATCCGGTTATCGAACGCCGGTCATTGACATCTGAGGCCCAGTCTGCGTCGACGAACGCATGTAAGTCCGTTTCTGACTTCCCTTGATATGTCAAACATTTATTGACGGTCCCGCGTAGATACCGATAGACACGCTTTAGAGCGGTCCAGTGCGCTTGTCCGGGGGTAGCTGCAAATCTGCTCAGAGCACCTACTGCGAACGCGATGTCCGGACGCGTCGCAAGCATCGCATACATCAGTGCACCTAGGGCACTTTGGTAAGTCTTCACATCGACTTCGGCTTCATTCACTTTGATGAGCTTGGTATTAGGGTCCATTGGCGTATTCACAGGACGACTGGATCCCATATCGAAACGCTCGAGTATCGATTCGATGTAGCGGCTTTGTGACAGCTTGATCGTGCGTTTATCGCGGTCGCGAATGATTTCCATTCCCAAAATCCAGCGCGCTTCTCCCAAATCGGTAAGCTCGTACTCTGCTGCTAACCGTTTCTTCAGCTCATCTATCATCTTCTTATCCTTTGACAGTATCATTTTGTCGTCAACATAGACGGCGACTATAATGATTGTGCCGTTCTCGACCTTGTAGAAGACAGAATGGTCTGCATTGCTGCGTGTGAAGCCGAGAGACTCGAAGACGGTACGTAGTCTTTTGTACCATGCTTTGTGTGCCTGCTTAAGACCATATAGAGCACGTTTGAGCTTCCAAACTTGATTCGACGAGTCACGAAAGCCAGGAGGGAGCTGCAGGTAAATTTCCTCATCCAATTCACCGTTTAGAAAAGCTGACTTGACGTCCATCTGATGTATATCTAGATCGTACTTGGCTGCAAGGGCAAGAAGGACTCGAATCGTCGAGAACTTCGTGACGGGGGCAAAGGTGTCTGTGTAGTCGATCCCTTGGACCTGCGTGAAACCTTTCGCGACGAGTCTGGCCTTATAGCGTTCAATTTCGCCATGCGGGCCGCGCTTAATTTTATAGACCCATTTCGAGTCTACAACCTTGCGGTCACGAGGGCGTTTGACTTCCTCGTATAGGCCAATCTTCTCGAAGATCTTCAATTCTTCGGTCATCGCCGTGTACCATAGATCTGCGTCTGGACGATTCATTGCTTCATGGAACGTCCCAGGCTCACCATTACAAGCTACTGTAGCCTTGTAAGCCTCCCCATGTGTCTCCGCAGCCTCAATCGCGCCCACTGCCTCAGGTATGTCTTGTATAACCGGTTCCTCTCTTTGAAGTGTTGACTTCTCATAGGCGTTTATGAAGTAGCGAGGATCATCGTCTCGCATAGGTGCGCGTCGCGCTCGCGAGCTGTGCCTTACTTCAGGTGGAGGAGCTGGGCGAGGATATGGAGCAGGAGGTGCTATTTGTCGAGTGGCTGAAGGGGTTAGTGGTTGAACACGGTGTGTCTCCAACGCACGCATGTTGTTCGGTGTAGAGAATCATGCCTCTCATGGCGTGATATGGCAGTTTCCACTAGGGATTATACAGCACCAACTCGCAGCACCACTCTGTGTACTGTCCACAGCGATTCCTATAGGAGGCGCAGCTTTCCCGCGCTTCGCGATGTATGCGCGCGCGTTCCCGCGCTTGCGCGCCCTTTAGCGCCAGCCATCCAGATGCATCCACCCACTGTCCACCAAGCTCCCTAGTGCGTATATTTCCATTTCCTTTATTAGCATAGTTCCACCTTTATTTTTATCATGCATTCTCACTCATATATATATTTACATACCTACTCGGTAGCGCTTCGGCTCCGCTTGACCGCGCTTAGGCGCGCTATATAAGCGCCAGCAGTACATACTATTACTTACCTACTTTTCCTACTTTTCACTTACTAGTTACTACCCACTTACTACTTAGCAGAATATAGTAGAAAGCTATTCCTTTACATTTTGCACTCTTATATCTCTTATCTTGCTTTATATCACTACTTAAGCTTAGTTTCTCATTTCCGCATACGCGCGCGCACTTTCCCACGCTTCGCGCTAATACGCGCGCGCGTTCCCGCGCCTTTGTACCTTGCGCGCTCCTGCGCTTTCTCGCGCTTCGCTTAAGCGCACACTTCTAGATCCTTGCTGCACTCACTTCCCCTATAGGGTCGAACGCACTTGCTTCTCAAGTAACGCAGACTAGGCAGCGCGCGACCTTACAACTTTTACAGATACAGTCAGGAGCTTCTTTTGTTCCTCATTGTATTGTAGTTTCTACAACTGGAGCCCACCGCGAGGGGAGCAGTCAGCAAGATCTAGTTCCGCGCATTTCGCGCATACAGGTCAATATCTTTGCATTTCGAAAGCTAATCATTTTCTAGTCACGCATTCTTGCACCTTGCGCGCGCGCAATATTCCCACGCCTGTGCGCCTCGCGCGCGCACCTTTCTCGCACTTCACACTATTTAACGCATAAAGGTCAATCTCTTTGCATATTCAAAAGCTAACCAATTTCTAGTCACGCATTCTCGCGCCTTGCGCGCGCGCTTTCCCACCCCTATACGCCTTGCGCGCGCCTGTGCTCCTTCACACTGCAATGCCTTATAGAATGCCCATCCGCGGCACAGCAAACGCGCCCAAGTTCGACGGCACTACAGACAACCTCGCTGAATTCATTGACGCATATGAGCAGCTTGCTGATGAAGCAGGACTCCAAGGACTCGACCGCATCAAAGGTATCATCCGCTACCTTGCGCGCGATGATCGAGAACTATGGGGAGGCATGCCAGAAGCGGCAGTAGATAATTACAGCGCCTTTTTAGATGAGGTGAAGGTAATGTATCCTGGATGGGATGGTAAAAGACGCTACGCGCTCGCGGACTTGCGCGCCATCGCGCGCGAATACGCTAACAAACCAATGCCCTCTTGCACAGAACTAAGCAGTTACCTGCGCGCATTCAGGAAGATTATGCAGCCACTCATGGACGAAGACCGTATTGGAAAGGCCGAACGCGACCGCTTATTCATGGAAGGAATCCCTAGCGATGCTCAGGCGCAAATCCGCTTGCGCCTTATGATCAAGTTCCCTGACCACCACCCATACGACCCATTCCCATTCATGGACGTCTTCGCAGCTGCGCAGTTCCTATTACCTGCGCGCGCTTTTCCCGCGCCAAGCGCGCCAGTTAGTGCGCCCATAGTAGCACCGATTGCCACCTTAGTCACAGCAACTGCGCCAGTGCAAGCTAAAGTGGCTAAGTACAAAGATCAATACCACGCGAGTCGCGCAACGCAGGATACGACCATTAGCGCTAATGCAACAGCTGGACTCTTCTATCGCGCACCCTCAGAAGCTGTACTTGACAAAAGGCCATCAGTTCCTATTCACGCGCCTCACGCGTGCGCCTTTCCCGCGCCTTCGCGCAATTCACACACACCTCCACCATCAACTATGCCAGCATGCAAAGCTATACCAGACTGTATCACTCTAGATCACGAACTCGAGCGCGCGCTCGCGAAGCGCAACCAGACGCGCACTGCAGGCGCCTCTTCACCATCATCCTCAGCAGCACCATCTCCTTCACAATCCGCATCATCACCATCACCATCAATCGCGTCAGAAGTCAGGGATGACTCTAAACATCTATTGCACACTAACGCGCCAGTTGAAACACGCGCACCTATCGCTATCGCATCGCACGCGCCTATCGCTATAGCCTCACCATTAGTCAGGGATGACTCTAAACATCTATTGCACACTAATGCACCGCTAGAAACACGCTCGCCCCTCGCTATCGCATCGCTTAAGGAAGAAACCTCGCCAATCGCACCATCACCATCACTGCTCGCATCATTAGAGGTCAGGGATGACCCTAAACATCTATTGCACCTTAGCACGCCTATAGAGGAGCCTCCTACCGCATCAGAGGCTCAAGTTGCACCTTGCATCAACCAGAGTTTGCCTCTGGTAACTCCAATTGTCACTAATGATTGCGCGCATGTCGCGCTTTTTGCTTCCAGTGACTATCGCGCACCGGTAAAACATCCGTGCATCACGCTGCACAACCACCAAGCAGAGCATGTCTCAGGCGACCCTGGCGCAACTCAGGCGCACCATATTGCGCCTGAGGACGCGCAATGCGCGCGCCTAGAGGCATTGTATATTTTTCCTCATCTTGTTTCGCGTTTTCTGTCTCTTTCATGTTTAAAGCTCTTAAGGAGCTATATGATGCTTCCAATCACTGTAACATCATCTTTGCACCACCCCTTATTCACGCGCCATGATCACGCGCATCGCGCAATATGCGCGCGCATTCCCGCGCCTCGCGCACTCATAATTTTAGCAGAGTTTTCACGCTACCGCATTTCTATCGCT